AACAATAAGATCTCCCAAATACATTTGCATTTATATTAAAGAGACTGTTGCTGTAAATTTGAACTTTTCAGTCTATTAGTTGCATGATCGATGCCGTTACAACATGTACTGTATAGTGTACATGCATTCAGTCGTACTGTCCAGACAGGCTACCCAGTATAGTGTAGCGTCGACCCACCACGATTTATGCAACAAATGTAGCCTGGCAAGATCACAGTTGAGCAGCCACGGTTTACGACGGTGAACTCTTTAAACCTTTATTTCACTAGATGGAGATCATTCATTTGGCACACTGTCTCTTTTTGCCTTGATTTGTACTGTACTTGTTCAAGCTGATTAAAAGTCGGCCTAACACTTAAAATTAACTTAAAATAGTTGATTTTTAGAAGAAGATTTTTGATCAGACAAATTTGAAGGTTACAGATTTGAATCTGACTTCCTACTTTGTAAATTTACCTTTCCCCTTCCCCTTCCCCTTCCCCGCCTGGGTAGATCTAGGGAACTGAACAATAACCATGAGGAAGTAACAAAACTTCAACATTTCTCATTTATCTAAGTATTATACAGTGATAACCAGAAAATGAAATAGGAAGACGACCTTATAGCAATACTTAAACGTTTTGATGTTGTTACAAAGCAACTATTTTTTTAGTAACTTAGCAAAGCACAATTTAAGTAAAAAAGGTCTATCTAGACTGCAATTGCAATGTTTAATTTTCATTGAACTAGCGAAAGTCCTAACTTGAGTTTTAAAGTCGTATTCATATTTCAGAGTTTTCTGGTTATCACTGTAGTATTAGACAACATAGCTAATTGCATTATCTTTGCTTTTAAAAGGGGTGAACACTTCTTTGGACAAAATATGATAATCCAGAGCTGAAAACTTCAGAATTGGATATAATTAATCCATATTGCTTGATCTCAATATCCAACGTGGACACTTTAACTTTACTTCTTAATCTGCTCTTTTTTCTTTTTTTTTCTCCTTCCCGTTTACGACCAATGTTAGTTTACTCAATCAATGGCGCGCAAAATTTCTCTGATTGGCTCTCCCGTCGATTGGTTGAGTTATAGATACTTTTGTTTATACACACTTGTTGACTTTAAAATGAAATAAAAGAGATCTAACGGTATTTCTAATCTTTATTTATTAAAACAAAAGGTTATGAAATATTTTCCCAAGTGGGGCTTAAATTGATTGGTTTAGAAATTAATAAAGAAACTATAGACGAATATCAGTTAGAAGGTGTTTGTAGAACTTCATGATGGTGATGCAGATCATCAATCTTGACGGCAGGCTTTCTCACAACTAGGCTTAGTCTAAGGGAGAGAGATTGCGGACTTATCCTGTATACAGGATAATGGAAGGAAGTCTGGTTCCGCCCGGATCTCTGGAACATTGCGGAGCGAACTATTGTTACCTTCTCCTGCGGAGCGAACTATTGTTACCTTCTCCTGTGGGAGGGAGAGATTGCGGACTTATCCTGTATACAGGATAATGGAAGGAAGTCTGGTTCCGCCCGGATCTCTGGAACTTTGTGGAGCGCGGAGCTAGGTGTAAGCAGTGTCTTCTGTTGTTGGTTCCGTATCTGAATCATCATCACAAAGGAGCCAGGGTTGAGACGGAGTTGTGAATCTCGTGAGTGTTTCCCGCTGACTGACTGGTGAAGCGGGAGCTAGGTTGAGCGGAGATTTGACATGTGGGGTGTGTTGTATGGCGGAAAAGGATTCTGTGTATTCAGTGTACACACACATCCAGGGAATTAACATCGGCATTTGAGTCGGAACAATCGTCTTCCTTATATTTCGAATTTGTTTTAACAACACTATGGATTAAATAAATCTTAAATTAACAAAAAGAGAAGATCAAGCATTGATCTCGATGTCAACAATTATAAAGTTTTTAGCTTTGGAGTGTTAACTGGAAAGAAATTAAGTCTTTGTCACAAACTCTGATTTTCTAATCCCAATATCTTTGAAACCCAATGTCGTAAATCTTAGATATCTCAAACTTTGAAATCTGTTGAAATATTACAGGCTGCAAAGATATAGGAATTAGAAAATCACAATTTGCAGCAAAGACTAAATTCCTTTAAGATATCCGACATGTCTTCAATTCCTTTTTAGGTTTTCTTTCGTTTGTAATCCTCTCCGGTTAAGTGTTCCGGTAAATGTAATTTTTAAATGGATTTTGTTCTTTCAAATTAAATCCCTAAATATAATTTATTTCTTTTAGGTACTATAATACAACGTTAAAAAAATAAATTACGAGCAAATTTGCACAATTGATCGTATAATAATCTTAATATCATAACAAAATTAGAAAGGCGATAATGAAATATGCTGTTTGTTTGAATTTTAGAAATAAGAAAATCTTACGCAAAAACATAATGAACAAAAATATTATTGATTTGAAACAGATTTTTTTTGACAAATTCAAATAAAATGGACCACCAGTGATCAAAACAGATTTTAAGTTTAAATCAGTGTTCCCTCATTAAAAGCTGGTTATTTGGTTTTCATTGAATCCAGCTAATCTAAAAACTTGTTTAAGCAGTCGACGTTAAAATTCATATACTCTCAGAAAAACAGAGTCATATTTAGGGGGGGGGGGGAGTGAGGCAATGGGACCCCCCAGGATCAGTGAAACCTATTGATTTCAGGGGGTTTTCAGGCCCCAAGATTTTCTGAGAGTAAATGATTATACACTGTTTCGAGGAGAGTTATAAAATTTAAAAGGCTTAGTTACTGTGCTTATTTTTCATTTGAAAAGAAGGCACAACCGTAAAGGGTGACACAATTGACATAATTGACATAATTGACATAATTGACATAATTGACACAATTGACATAATTGGAAGACACTTTATTAGAGACATGAAACGCTTTAATTTTCGGACAGAGGTAAACAAAGAATCAGGGGGAAAAAATACTGAATACGATCTTTATTCCACGCTCTCTAAAATCCTATAGTCCTATGTGCGCAAGTATTGAGAATCCTATAGTTCTTTGTGCGCAAATATTGAGAATCCTAGTTCTTTGTGCGCAAATATTGAGATTCCTAGTCGTATGTGCGCAAGTGTTGAGAATCCTAGTTCTATGTGCGCAAATATTGAGAATCCTATTTCTATGTGCGTAAATATTAAGAATTCTAGTTCTATGTGCGTAAATATTGAGAATCCTAGTTCTAAGTGCGCAAATATTGAGATTCCTAGCTCTATGTGCGTAAATATTGAGAATTCTAGTTCTATGTGCGTAAATATTGAGAATCCTAGTTCTATGTGCGCAAATATTGAGAATCCTATTTCTATGTGCGTAAATATTAAGAATCCTAGTTCTTTGTGCGTAAATATTGAGAATCCTAGTTCTATGTGCGCAAATATTGAGAATCCTAGTTCTATGTGCGTAAATATTGAGAATCCTAGTTCTATGTGCGCAAATATTGAGAATCCTAGTTCCATGTGCGCAAATATTGAGAATCCTAGTTCTATGTGCGTAAATATTGAGAATCCTAGTTCTATGTGCGCAAATATTGAGAATCCTAGTTCTATGTGCGTAAATATTGAGAATCCTAGTTATGTGCGTAAATATTGAGAATCCTAGTTCTATGTGCGAAAATATTGAGAATCCTAGTTCTATTTGCGCAAATATTCAGAATTCTAGTTCTATGTGCGCAAATATTGAGAATCCTTGTTCTATGTACCCTAATATTCAAAATCCTAGTTCAATGTGCGCAAATATTCAGAATCCTAGTTATATGTGCGTTAATATTGAGAATCCTAGTTCTATGTGCGCAAATATTGATAATCCTAGTTCCATGTGCACAAATATTGAGAATCCTAGTTCTATGTGCGTAAATATTGAGAATCCTAGTTCTATGTGCGTAAATATTGAGAATCCTAGTTCTATGTACGTAAATATTGAGAATCCTAGTGTGCGCAAACATTGAGAATCCTAGTTCTATGTACGTAAATATTGAGAATCCTAGTTCTTTGTGCGTAAATATTGAGAATCCTAGTTCTATGTGCGTTAATATTGAGAATCCTAGTTCTATGTGCGCAAATATTAAGAATCCTAGTTCTATGTGCGCAAATATTGAAAATCCTAGTTCTATGTACGCAAATATTGAGAATCCTGTTCTATGTACGCAAATATTGAGAATCCTGTTCTATGCGCGCAAATATTGAGAATGTGAGAAACCTTTAATGTACAAAATTGCTTTTTATTATGTTCTAAATGGACGGTCAACCCTACAGTTCTTGAATGCCTATAAACTATGATTGAACTGTTAGGGCTGATCCGTATTTGACTTTTAATTGAGGCTTCAAAAAGATCTGAGATGAATAACATGTTTCGAAATTGTAAGCTCCAAAACTTTGCTTTTATTACATTTTGCAAAATTTTAATGTTGGCCAAGGTTAAGAACTATAAAAACGATTTTTTCAGAAGATTTTCGTTTTGAAAAAAGGTTTTGGTAAATTTCTTTGGTAGGAGAAAAAAAACTACTTGATGCAATAAAATAGAAAATGGATTTTTTTTTTTGTTAAGCATCTCAAATGCTTTTAGAGCAGTTTTAAAGCCAAAAAACCTTGAATGTGTAAATACGGTGCTCCGTTGTATGTAGTGTATTACTGAAGTGCTTCAGTGCTACAGAATAAATGAACCTCTTCAACATTAAGTGTTGACTCGTTAAATTTATTATTTATAAGGTACACTGGCGTTTTCAGAAATAATTTCCCCCCCCCCAGGAGCTCCTAGGGGGGGGGGGCAAAATTCAAAATATTTGGCTTCAATTGTATATCAGTAGGGTTTCCAGCGAAAAAGGAAAATCTTTTCGCGAAAATTTAGTACTTCGTTCGCTCGCAAAAAATCGAAAATTTCGCTTTAATCTGTGCTTGAGAATCATTGTGATGCATACCGCAATCTTTATCCCCGTGATGCATACTGTAATTTGAATCTCCGTAATACATAGCGTAATCTTAATCCCCAAGATGCATACCTTAATCTGAATCCCCATGATGCATACCGTAATCTAAATCCCCGTGATGCATACCGTAATCTGAATCCCGGTGATACATACCGTAATCTAAAGCCCCGTGATACATACAGTAATCTGAATCCCCGTGATGCATACCGTAATCTGAATCCCCATGATGCATACCATAATCTGAATCCCCGTGATGCATCCGTAATATGAATCCCCGTGATGCATACCGTAATCTGAATCCCCATGATGCATATCCTAATCTGAATCCCTGTGATGCGATATCTTAATCTGAATCCCCATTTTGCATAGGGTTATCTGAATCCCCGTGATGCATACCATAATCTTAATCCCCGTGCTGTTTATCATAATCTGAATCACCATGATGCATACCATAATCTGAATCCCCATGATTCATACCGTAGTCTGAATCATCATGATTCATACCATAACTGTATCCCCATGATGCATACCGTAATCTGAAACCCATGATGCATACAGTAATCTGAATACCCATGATGCATAGCATAATCTGAATCCTCATGTTGCATACCGTAATCTGAATCCCCGTAATGCATACCGTAATCTGAATCCCCGTTATGCATACAGTAATCTGAAACCCCATGGTGCATACCGTAATCTGAATCCCCGTGATGCATATTGTAATCTGAATCCCCATGGTTCATACCGCAATCCCCGTAATGCATACCGTAATCTGAATCCCCATGATGCATACCATGATCTGAATCCCAGTGATGCATATGGTGTACTGTATTCCCGTGATGCATACTATAATCTAAGTCCCCGTGCTGCATATCGTAATCTGAATCCACATGATGCATACTATAATCTGAATCCCCGTGATATATACCTTAATCTGAATCCCCATGATTCACACCGTAATCTGAATCCCCATGATGCATACCATGATCTGTTTCCCAGTGATGCATACCGTAATCTGTATCCCCGTGATGCATATCGTAATCTGAATCCCCATGATGCATACTGTAATCTGAATCCCCATGATGCATACCATAATCTGAATCCCCATGATTCATACCGTAGTCTGAATCATCATGATGCATAGCATAATCTGTATCCCTATGATGCATACCGTAATCTGAATCCCGGTGATGCATACCGTAATCTGAATCCCCATGATGCATACCATAATCTGAATCCACATGATGCATATCATAATCTGTATCCCTGTGATGCATAACGTAATCTGAATACCCATGATGCATCGCATGATCTGAATCCTCATGTTGCATACCGTAATCTGAATCCCCGTGATGCATACCGTAATCTGATTCCCCGTGATGCATACCGTAATCTGAATCCCCGTGATGCATACTGTAATCTGAATCCACATGATGCATACCATGATCTGAATCCCAGTGATGCCTACCGTAATCTGAATACCCATGATGCATACCGTAATCTGATTCCCCATGTCTGTGGTGGACATGTCAACGATAGTGTAACGTAACTTAAAATGTACGTTTTTGTACGTTACGTTACAATAATGTGTAACGTTTGGATATATTCTATATAACGTGAACGTTAAACGTTAACGTTATAGGAGCGCATACCTAACGTTAACGTTAAACGTTAACGTTAGAGGAACATACCCCCAACGTTAGCGTTTTGTGGAAATGTAACGTTATTTTTCTAATATCTACAACTTTTTTGACCATAACGTGAAGAAATGTTTTGTTTCCAAGGGGAGTTTGAAAGTCTAACGTTTGAAAAATTAATTGTGATTTGATTAAATATCGTAACGAAAGGATTTCTATTTCAAAGTTCAACTTATAAAAAGTGTAACGTTGTATAACTGAAAACGTTTTGAAACGTTTTCCCTTATAGTATAATGAAAAAATCAAAGTTGCATACTTGGGTTATTATCTTAATAATCAGGAAACGAAATTTTTTTTACAGAGTAAAATTCTGTAAATCAAAACGTTTCATAACTTTTCTCTGAATACTAAATTGATTAGTCTAACGTTAGATATATGTCTGATGAAAATATTGTTCATAAAACGTTAGACTATGAGGGTTGAGTTTTAATTTCAAAAGTGTAACAATAATTCTGCCAATCAAAACATTTCAAAACGTCTCTAATATATCAATGTAAGAGATTCGACTGATGATTATGACAGCAAAGACTAATGGTTTTTCATTTCAAGTTTAAAGAAAATGAGTTTATGCCAAAAACTCTAATTTTCATATAATATATCTTTGCACCCGATGTCGTAGACCATTAATGTTGAAATATACAAGGTTTAAATCATCGGGTTGGAAAGATATAGGGATTAGTAAATTTGAAAAAAAAATTAGTTCCTTTCTAAAGTGTAAACAAGTTTTTTGTAACATGCTATTAGTGACAATTCAAATCTTATAAATAAATCTTTGGACATTAAAGGTTTTTGATTTGCCATTGTTTGATGAAACCCACTAAAACTCTGGAAAAGGAAGACGAAATTAAGAAATTTTACATATGCATTTTCTGTTATAAAGCAAATGATTTACTAATTGCAAAAAAATCAACTTATTAAGTGGAACGGGTCTGTGAACAAACACAATTGCTGGGTTTCATGTTTATTTGACTAATTGAAATCATAACTTCAGTTGGCATGGTTCATTTTTAGGTTGGAAAATTTAGAAATGTAGATACTTACTAAAATGCAACAATATTTTATCAAATGGAAAATGCATGTTATGTTTTATTCATCAATAGATTTTTATGAAATTTTAGAATAGAAAAAAAACTGATTTTTTAATCCATTAAAAAAAAAATGTTAAATAATTGTATTTCGCGTTGTTTGTGTTAAAAAAACTTTAGCTCTTGTCTTAATATATTTGATATTTTTTAACCCCAAACATGAACTCTGAAAACATTTTCATTGTGGTTTGTAAACTAAAGCTAATGCCGCTTTTTTACTCACTTTGTAAGTAGCATTAAAAAAACACAAAAAGAACTAAAAATTCGCCACAAATTATAATTTTCTAATCTCTACAGCTTTGCAAGCTGGTGTTGTAGACTTTTTATATTTCAAGCTATGACTTCTTTTAGATAAGAATATAAGGAATTTAGTTGTTTACAAGCTTATATTTCTAATCCCTATATCTTTGCTACCCAATGTTGTAGACCTTAGATATTTTAAACTATGAATTCTGTTAGATAGAAGAAAAGGGTCAGTCTGCATTGCGTAAAAAAAGAAAAAATTAACCTAAAATAATCTAAAATAATTTAGAACTACTGTTCCACATGCAAAAGTGGTTTCAATGATAATTTCAAGTGATCCTCCATTTAAAGAGGGCCATGCTCGATTCCCAATGATAACGTGTATACCTTTATCTAATTGATGATTTAAAAATTAGGAGTGTTTTCCTATCTTGTAAATGTATGCTGGACATTAAGGGTGATTGATCTGTGACTTTTTTAGAATTCAGCCAGCCGCCCACCTGAGGTTTCTGCGTTTTAAATAAATAAAAATATTGTAATCAAAAAAAAATTCAAAATTGTCCAGAGGGTTGCGAATTGACAATTTAATATTGGAGAAATCGCCAAAAGGCCTAAAAAAATATTTCAAAAAATAAATATGATACATCATTTTCTTAGAAATTTCATGCTGAATTCAGATTCGAAAACCATTTTTAAATATATTAAAATCTAGAGAAGTTATGGCCAAATAACGGTACTGAATTCCGGTTTTTAAACTTTTTAATGTTTTTGATGAGTTTTTTTAGCTCTGACTCATTCAATTTTCAATTTTTTTAAACGCTTTTCACATTTGAATTCAGCATTGAATTTCCAAGAAAATGGTGTATAACATGAAAATAAAAAATAAGATTTTTTTGTGGCCTTACGGTGAATTGTCCGATATTAAATCGTCAAATCGCAAATTTTGAAAAAGAATTTTATTTGCAATATTTTTTAAGTGAAAACGCAGCGACTTCCGGTGGGCGGTTGGCTCTATTCCAATATAGATCACCCCTACTGGACATGCCACTCCATAAATGAAAGGTGGTCACTTGAAATTACGTCTCTAGCCCCTTTAAGGCACACTTTAAGTTGAAAGTCTAATGCTAAAAACTTTCATTCACAAATTTTTAAAATTGTTAAAAATAATAATATTATAACATCTTTATATTGTATAATGCATATTCTTCTACACATTCTCTAAAAAGGTTAACAATACAACAGCAACATATACAGGGTGAGTAAAAAATGTAATTACGGAAAAAATCTTGCAATGCTTTCATTTAGAAACAATATTATTTTAATAAAGTGTAACGTTAGAAACATTAAGGTTTGAACATTTTAATACAACGCAACGTATAGAACATTTTTTCAAATCTTTCTTGATGGTCAGTTGTAAAAAAGTGTAACAAAAAAGTTTTCACAATAACGTTTCGATAAATCGTAACGTAAGAAAAGGTGCATTTTAGTAAAATTTCTGAACGTAATCAAAAGAGTTTATATTGGAAAAGTTAAGATAAAACGTAACGTTAACAAAAAATATTCTTTGCACTGAAATGTATTGTAACTTGCAGAACTATGCCTCAATAACGTTTTAGTAAAGCAAAACGTTTGTCATTTTTTAGATCTTAAACCAAGTGAAAGTGTAACGTAAGGTCTCTGAAAATATTTACCTTGCATAAAAGTGGAACGTTAAAAAATTGTGGTTATATTACATAAGCTTTAACGCAACGTTGGGAAAGTTTTTTTAAACGGGAAATGCAAAAGCGTAACGGAGCTTACTGTTTTTCACTAACATTTACTAAAGCTTACCGTTGTATTAGGTATTCTAGTGCTGAAAATTCATTACGTAACGTTACTCTATGCCATAAAATTTCATAATGTGCAACGTAACTTTAGAAACGTTAATACTTTTGATGAACACTATCATAACGAAAGCTAAAATCTAGAAAAATCAAAACGTTGACATCTCTACTGTGGTAGTACAAATATTAATATTTAACTATCAGTGATTGAAGATTGTTCTACGTCAGTAAATACTAATATTGAATAATAAATGATGGTTTAATATCAGGAACGCGTGTATATTTTGTTCACAGTTAAATGGGTTATTGGAAAACTTAAACATTTTTTTAACCCATGTATTCCTGATAATTTTAGGGGCATAATAGTGAGAAAGTAACAATGTTTAATATATCAAATAAAAAATCATTACCATTTGGATTGAATAAACTTGTTTAGCACTTAAAAGCATTATGGATACCAGGGTCCGAGTTTTTTGAGTTTAGGGTGCGTCGCATGAACCAACGATTTAAAGTTAAAGATTAACTTATCTCAAATTATTGCTGTGTCAGTTTAACAGATTTTCAAAATAAGGTAAAAAATATTGAACGTAAAGTAAACCAATGTTTGACTGAATCTTAAATATCTCATTCTCAAGTCTCGTTTAAAGATATAAATAACGTGAAAGAGAAATATAATAAATTTAAAACATAAAGCAGAACAAAAACGTAAATTTAAGTGCGTGTAGTAAATACCCTAATCCAGAATGGTTTCTCTAACCCGTATCTATCCAAATACTATTAAGTTTCACTAAGCTATCAATACTAAAACCGGACACTAGCTTGTAAACTATCAATACCTAACTAACGGGCACGATTATCTCATACGTTTCAATGAGAACTCGTCAGCTATTAATGTCAACATGGAAACTAGCCAGTAATCGATCAATGCCAAACAAATGGGCAAGATTTCAGCTTGTATGTTTCAATGAGAACTCGTCATCTATAAATGTCAAAAAGGACACTATCTAGTAATCGATCAACGACAAACCAATGGGCGCGATCAGCTATCAATATCCTCCAAAGCACGCAACTATCAATGGCACAATCTTTAACTCATTTGTTTAGAACAAGGACACAATTATTTTCTCATAGTAATCAGTACAGTGTGGCAGAATGATCCAAAGGAAAATTCTTGGGACAAGCCTAGATAGGAATGACATGATGGTACATGAGTGACAGGAGGTTCTCAGAGGTTATACTGACTGTGTATATGTACAAGAATGCAAATCTGTCGTTTCATTGATTTCTCTGGGTCCTTAGCCAGGTTTGGTCTTGTTTCATTTGATTCATCCTTTTCTCCTTTGATTCTTTCCTAATTCTATTAGTTTCCTCTGTTCCAGCTGCATTTTTCTTGCCTCTGTAAGCTCTTTCTACGACGTCATTTTTGTCAACATTGTTCTCAGCTGGAGCTGTGAGGGTTGGAACATGCTTTCACAACTGTTTTTAATCCCTTCTTATCGGCTGGTCGTCTCTCTGAAATTTCTAGTTGATTCACTGAAACAGGATTAGCTTTCTTACTGCCCTTGCTGTGTTTGTCTAACTCCGCATTTGTTCTGGATACAGCTGTGGCATTTACATACAGTATCTGTTGTTTTATTTTTGTATTTCGCCTCTACAGCTGGATGGGTTGGTTTTCTTGAGTTGTTCTGCGTATCATTCCCATTGATCTTTTTAAAACCCATTTTGAAACCCCTAATTAAAACCATTCCACCTGAGCTTGAACCCGCGCCTGGCCTGAATCCTCCATCCAATATTGTGAATCCTATGTTTGGATTTTGCCAGGATACTACATGTTTAATATGTCCCGATAAAACCACGGAAAAAATTGGAAACTATGATGCCTGTTTTCCTAGCACAGATAAATCAATACCAGGACGTGAACGTGTACACTGGCGTTCTAAGAATACACTCTGTTTTACAGCTGTGGAATTCAAAAAAACTAATATGTGGTTAAATTTCTCTGAGATAATTGTAAAACTTTATGAAATCTTTAATCTTTAACCACTGAATAAATATTTAGGTTTTAAAAAAGATCTTTTTACCTATCTTCAGTTTGAACATTCTTAATTTTCCTTTTGTTAACTTCCTTGGTTCTGCAATTTCCCCCTTTTTATACTGTTTTCTTCGTATCTCTTGATCTTGATTTCTTTCTTCCGTCCTTTTTCCCGCTCTATGTATTTTATTTTTTGTGTTTAAATTTTCCGCTCTAGGTATTTGATTCTCTGTGTTTATACTCAGCATATTCGTTGTCGTGTAACGCTCTTGCTCTTGATGTTTCTCTTGATCTCGATTTTTCTCTTGATCTTGATGCTTATTCTCCTGATCTTGATGCTTTCACGAATAAATTCCTTCTTATGTATTACAGCACAGTTGAAATAAGTGCAATTAAGATTTACGTCATTATGCTACGTATTCATCTGAAGCACAGGTTAGATGAATATTGGGTTTTACGTAGAAGTTTACAAACGTAGATAGTTAATCATGTACAACGTACTTCAGGTTTACAGAATATCATGTTACCCGATATTTATTACATGCGTACGTCCGCAAAATCAACATTTAATAGTTGAAAATGGGTTTGAAATGTAAACGAAATCTCTTCTTTACTTAGACACGATAATAACCATTGGAATTTGTATTTTAAGAAAAATGTCTGTCCAAAAACTTTAAATCTCGCCGTCCTAAAAAAGTATTGGTATTGATTCATCAATGATAAAGTGTTTTTTATATTAAGAAATGAAAATGAAATGACCAGAAATTTAAAAAGCGATAAAAAGTATGCTGAAGACTAAGAAAGAAATAAAAAATAATCAGCAGCGCCCTGAATTCGAAGACATTTCGTGTAACCAGTAATCAGAGTCAGACAGAACAATACACCAGGATTTATATTCGTGGACCACAATCATTCATACATTAATTATTCATTTTCTTTCAGATATTTTTAGATCGACCCCACTTTAAGAACTTTGTTCGTATATATACAGAGTGTCCCATGTTATATTAGATTATCTACTTGATTTAACGCTGAAATAGGCACAAAATACTCGGAAACCTGCAATACGTTGTACATTATACTGTAGAGTGCCATGTTCGTTTTACGCGCGCCAAAAGTTCAACTTAGATTAACATTTTGGGTTTATACAATTCCTTTGCAATTTAGTAAATAATTTAACTTTATCGCCAGGCGGTGTTGCAAGCTATTTATCATTATATCGCTAAATTTAGCAATTTCTGTCATTTTAATGAACAAATAGTGCAAAAATATCACAAAACGAAAATTCCACAGTAAAGCCACTAAATCAATTCAGACTGAACCAAACAACCAAACTTTAATTCTTTAAACAAGCTGATCACTAATTTATATCTATTCTACAGTGTGTCCCAATAAACATTATATCCATTCTACAGTGTGTCCCAATAAACATTATATCCATTCTACAGGGTATCCCAATAAGAATAATATCCATTCTACAGGGTGTCCCAATGAACATTATATCCATTCTACAGGGTGTTCCAATAACCATTATATCCATTCTACAGGGTGTCCCAATAAACATTATATCCATTCTACAGGGTGTCCCAATAAACATTATGTCCATTCTACAAGGTGTCCCAATAAACATTATAACCATTCTACAGGGTGTCCCAATAAACATTATATCCATTCTACAGGGTGTCCCAATAAACATTATATCCATTCTACAGTAAGCAGCCAAAACATAAACAAAACAAATTATGAACTCTCTCTGACGAAACATCTATGGATTTCAGCTTTCTCATTAGATATCACCGTACTACATCAAAAAATATTTACAAAGGCAATTTTAAAAGAGTCATACAATTCCCGTGTTTATTGGGACACCCTGTGGTTTGGAGCTTCAAATAAACATTATTTAAAAATAAATTGGTTTAAAGCGGGAAATATATATTTTGAATATAAAGTTTAAAAGCTAAGAAATGGTAAAACAACTCTTGATTAATTTTTTTCATCATCAATTAGAGTTTTCAGTGTGAACATTTTCAATTATATTTGGTTGCATAGTATTTACATTTAATCATATAAGCATAATAAATCACAGATATTCTTCATCAATTCTACATTTTAACGTCGCATTTATGTTGTAATAACTAAAAATAACTTGTCATAAGATTAAATTGTTTGTTTAGTTCAAGCTGTAAAATAAATGCTTGGGAGTTGGAGGAATTTTTTACAAATAAATATTTTTAAAGGGAGAGTGACCGGCTATGTCGAATTTGAGCTCAAACTCAGGATTTACAGATCTTTAAAAGAGTTTTCCACAACACTGCATACTCAGTTCAACTACCTTACATAGCCCGTCACTCCCTTTAACACAGTTAAGAACTTAATAGACAGTGTATCAAATATATTTATATCTGGAACCTCCCAAGCAGTCTTTAAATACAATGAGGTCAAAGTAAGGCATGTGCATTACTTCTCAGGATCCATGATCTCCCAATTAGAGATGATTTATCATGTTGTAAAAATATAAAAAAACTTCAAGTAAATTCATAAAAAGGAGACAAGACAAGGAGAACATTCAGCATGAAGATTTCTTAGGATAAACCTTATTTTTTTGAAGTATGAAAATTTTAAAAAAATAACAGGCAAGAATTCTGAATATCCTGAGGGTAATTGAGGTTATTTTAAATGAACCTGCATTAAAAAATTGAGTATATTATCGTTAGTTTCCCGCATTTTCGTTGCATTGCCGTTACACTTTCCCAACTAAAGGATTGTACGTCGTCTTCCGTCGAAGGAGTCCTATGACGGCAGAATGAGAAAATCTTTTCTTCAGAACAAACTTGAGATACAAGAGAATAATGAGGACTACCGAGCTGAAAATAAAACTTAAATTAGTGATAATAGTACTTTATTAAAAGCTGTATTTTTTTACCTGATCCAAAGAAGAGCACAGAAGGATATATCCAAACCGTTGAAAAATATGAAATTGACCTGTGTTTTCTTCCTAAAATATTTTGAGAAATCAATTATTTTCTTAGTTAAGAAAAAAAAATACCTATAATTGTCAAGGTCCAGGTTCTCGTTTGTGTCTTGAACCTGTGGTTCCGGAACTACTGGTTCAGCCACCTTAAACAGGATAATCTTAGAACTATAAGATAGAAAATATAATTTCAAACCGAGTTTAGAAATCAGAATTAGCTAAAAATTTAATAATTAGGAGCAGTGAATGCATATGAAAAAAATTGGCGTTGGAAAAATTCATAGAAAGACATTTCATAGAAAGGAGATTTCATATAAGAGACATTTCAGAGATAAAACATGTCATAGAAAGACACAAAGACATTTAATAGACGGGCATTCCATAGACAGAGAGGATTTCCTATAGACAGAGGAGATTTTTTTTCTTAGATTTTTCATAGACAAGGAAAATGTAAATACAGTGCTCCCCATGTACATTGCTACACAATGAAACAATTTAAAAAAAAACATTACATATTAATAGTACTGAATTCATTTTTTAAGAACTTAAAATTCAAATTTTTCATCTATCAAAACATTTCTGACCAATTAAAAGTTTTTCAGTAATAATGCTTTTTTTTAATGAAAATGCTCGAGTGAATTGTTAAAATCCACAAAACAAATTCGAAATCTGCAACTTCTCAGTTGTTTTTTTAAATGGTAGAAGTAAGACATTAAATATGTGATAACATTTTTCATAGACAAGGGAAAATATGAAGATGAAAAAAAAATAAAAAATCTCATTTGTCTAAGGAAAATCATCTCTGTCTCTGAAATGTCCTATCAATGAAATGAGAAATGTCCTCATCTATGAAATGTCTTTATCTAATCAAGATTGTATAAAATATACATTATCCAGTTTTTAATATTTTAAACTGATGACAAATGGATCTTTTCAATTGTGTTTTCTCCGTAGTTTGAGATAATGCAGAAGATTGTCAGAATTCGGCACGCTATAAGATAAAAAACAACTTAATTTGTAAACTGTTTAGGATACCATTGTGAATTAGGCAGGTTACTCCTTAAATGGAGGATAACTTCACATTACGTCCACACTTTCATTAGAATAAAAATCCAAATTTAAGTATTTTTTCAGGGATTGAGATAATTGTTGTAAATGTATAACCCTGAAGGGAAAAATGAACCTCTAACACTCTCCACTAAAATCCACTGTTTCTTCGGATAGTTTACTGCATTTCCCTGCAGCACTCACCTGCAGCGTTGTTTATGGTGCTAATCTAATCACCTGGCTCTCAATGATGCCCTGCTTACTGAGTTTGGTGGCAGAGTACTGGTTCTTAAGGAAATTGAACACCTCATCCAGTTCAAACTCATCCCAGAGATTGGAACCTTAAACACGGGTTTGATATTTCAAATAGAATACAGAGAAAATAGATCAAGTTTTGGAGAAAATTTCAGATAATTTAATTTCGGTTACTAAAGGTTTAGAAGGTGCCCGTGATGAAATCATGAATATAAAGATTAAGTAGGTCGAGGGATAACATATGAGTACAGTAATTAAAATATTATAACGTCGCGGCAGGATAACATTAGTTCAGTAACAAAGCTTTAGAAAAATGGTGGAATAATATCAGTTCAGTAATTAAAGGTTTAGAAGGTGGGTAGGTATGAATACAGTAATTAAAGGTTTAGAAGGTGGGTAGGTATAACTACAGTAACTTACGGTTTAGAAGGTCAATGGATAACATAATTACACTAATTAAAGGTTTAGAAGGTCGTAGGTAAACATAATTAAAATAAATAACGGTTTAGAAGGTCGAAGGTAAACATGAGTACAGTAAATAACGGTTTAGAAGGTCGATGGATAACATAACTACATCCACTAAAGGTTTAGAAGGTTGGGGTAAACATGAATACAGTAAATAAGGTTTTAGAAGGTCGAGAGTAAACATGATTACAGTAAATAAAGGTTTAGAACGTCAAGGATAAACATAAATAAAGGTTTAGAAGGTCGAGAGTAAACATGATTACAGTAAATAAAGGTTTAGAAGGTCGAGAGTAAACATGATTACAGTAAATAAAGGTTTAGAACGTCAAGGATAAACATGATTACAGTAAATAAAGGTTTGGAAGGTCATGGGTAAACATGACTACAGTAAATAAAGGTTTAGAAGGTCGAGAGTAAACATGATTACAGTAAATATAAGGTCGAGAGTAAAAATGATTACAGTAAATAAAGGTTTAGAAGGTCATGGGTAAACATGATTACAGTAAATAAAGGTTATAAGGTCGAGAATAAAAATGATTACAGTAAATAAAGGTTTATAAGGTCGAGGGTAACATGATTACAGTAAATAAAGGTTTAGAAGGTTAAAAGGTAACATTAGTTCAGTTCATAAGAGGGATAATATACCATAAATATAACTAAAGGTTCTGAAAAATTGGGGATAGTAATAGCTCAGGAACAATAGGTTTAGAAGTTTAGGGATAATACCAATTGATAAACTATAATGGCATTATATAAAAACAGTAACTAACTATGATGTTTACCTCTAACATTAGAATAACAGCTGGTGCAGAATTGTTTAACTGGAAAAACTAGTTTAGGATAAACTGGGTCCTCAGATATATCACCAGCTAAACGGGTGTTTACCCTGGACAAAATTAATCATGAACGGAGAAATATAAAACTGTGGACTAGGAAGACGACATTAAAAAATCTATGTTGTTTTAGGACAAACAGTTTTACAAGAATTTAAACAACATCGTACATATTTGAATTTTTTCTGTGTCACTACTGTCTTGGTTTCCTATTCTTTGGCCTTTTTAAAGCCATACTTTGAGTCATCGGCCGTTCTCTTATTTCTCAACTCTATGGTTCTATTTGTATAAGAGTTAATTTTTCAATTTTTGCAGAACATTGGGGACAGGATGAAATCCGGAAGGAAAACTACGGTGGGAAAAATTCAGAATTTTCTAAATGTTTTATATTATATGTTGTTTTCATTATTTAGACTACGACTTCCATTTTGAGGCTTAGGGTAAATTGTAAAACAATTGTGTTATTTCATTTAAAATTAAAGAATTGAATAGCAATCCTTTATCAATCACAAATATGATAGGACGATAAACTCAAAAATTTATCATTTTTTTAGGTTACCTATTGTGAATATTCCATAGGTACAAAACAGCGTCTTTTCTTGTCTTTACATTCTCATCGATCCCAACCCCCTGCAGTAAAATAGAATAATGTTATACGACTATTTGAACGAATTTCTAGCAAAAGTAAAGAGGGGGATTTAAGATAAAACAGAAGTAAATAATGAATCCATCCTTTTTATTTTGCATTTCCATCTAATTTTGGTTTTAGTTTTTACAATTAAGTTGTTTAACCCCTTTTTAATGTAGCGGACTCTAAGGATTTATTCGTCAGTCCTGATACTAATATTCGATCCTTCCTGATACTAATATTCGATCCTTCCTGATACTAATATTCGATCCTTCCTGATACTAATATTTGATCCTTCCTGATACTAATATTTGATCCTTCCTAATGCAACTATTTGATCCGTCCAGATACTAATATTTAATCCGTCCTAATACTAATATTTGATCCGTCCTAATACTAATATTTGATCCGTCCTGATACTAATATTTGATCCGTCCTGATACTAATATTTAATGCGTCCTGAAACTAATATTTGATCCGTCTTAATACTAATATTTAATCCGTCCTGATACTAATATTTGATCCGTCCTAATACTAATATTTAATCCGTCCTAATACTAATATTTAATCCGTCCTAATACTAATATTTGATCTGTCCTGATACTAATATTTAATCCGTCCTAATACTAATATTTGATCTGTCCTAATACTAATATTTGATCTGTCCTAATACTAATATTTGATCTGTCCTAATACTATTATTTGATCTGTCCTGATACTAATATTTAATCCGTCCTGATACTAATATTTGATCCGTCCTGATACTAATATTTAACCCGTCCTGATACTAATATTTGATCTGTCCTGATACTAATATTTAATCCGTTCTGATACTAATATTTGATCCGTCCTGATACTAATATTAACCCGTCCTGATACTAATATTTAACCCGTCCTGATACTAATATTTAACCCGTCCTGATACTAATATCAAACCCGTCCTGATACTAATATTTGATCTGTCCTGATAATAATATTTGACCTGTCCTGATACTAATATTTGACCTATCCTGATACTAATATTTGACCTGTCCTGATACTAATATTTGACCTGTCCTGATACTAATATTTGACCTGTCCTGATACTAATATTTAATCCGTTCTGATACTAATATTTGACCTGTCCTGATACTAATATTTAATCAGTCCTGATACTAATATTTGACCTGTCCTGATACTAATATTTAACCCGTCCTGATAATAATAATCAATCTGTCCCAATACTAATATTTGACCTGTCCTGATACTAATATTTGACCTGTCCTGATACTAATATTTGATCCGTCCTGATACTAATATTTGACCCGTCCTAATAATAATATTTAACCCGTCCTGATACTAATATTTAACCCGTCCTGATACTAATATTTGATCTGTCCTGATACTAATATTTAACCCGTCCTGATAATAATATTTAACCCGTCCTGATACTAATATTTAACCCGTCCTAATACTAATATTTGACCTGTCCTGATACTAATATTTAACCCGTCCTGATAATAATATTTAATCTGTCCCAATACTAATATTTTAAACTGCAAACCCCTGAAGCGTAGAAAAAAAAATAATGAATATCAGGACTGTAAACTGGCAGACTATGCTTTTTTTTAATTTTTGGTCGTTTTTCCCTCATGCTATCAAAGTAAAAGGGACCAAAGAATTAGAGACTTCAAATGTTTATTTTTAACCTTTGTCTGCTTTTCTATCTAAAAGTAATTATTTTGAATTGTTTTGACAAGAGAATTCAAGACAGAAAAACGACGATATCTTTGTTACATTTTTACTTCAATAAAGGGCTAAAGGGTACCTTCTTGAATTAGGCATGTAATGCTTTCAATTGAAATTACGTGGGCAGACACAAGAGAGCTTTAAAACCGTCCATAAATGCTGGGCAAATTTTCACTCCTCGAAATACCTTCCGAATTGTTTGATCAAAATGTCGGGCACAATCCTGGCAACCAAAGAACTGTTGAATAAATCCCTGGGAACAATATTGCAAATTGTGGAATTTAAACTTTTCATGTTTGCACCTCCTCTGTTTATATAGCACGGGAGAATGCAAATGGTTATTTCAGAAATTTCTATTTTTACAGCCCGGATGGATTCCAGACCCTTGGGGAGGTCTGGAGACGTCGGGTTCTCTTTTAGATCTTGTTATTATTATTATGAATATCAAATCTACGACATCGAGGTTATTTATCATCTGACATTGGATTAAAATGCAAATAAGTTTATTAAAACTTTTTCGGAACTTCAATAGAAACTTTCATTTATAAAACATAACGCTTAAATTAAGGTGTGAAAAATATTCAATTTAAGAAAATTAAAAGCACACAGAAAAAAGTATCACTTTATACAAAATTGCAAAATTTCCTGCATAGCTCTGAGCACTTCCTGTGGTTCCCCAGATTCCGATTTCTCCTAAATAAAATAAAATGAAGTAAATAATATGAAATAAAATAAAATAAAATAAAACAAAATAAAATAAAACAATAAAATAAAATAAAGTATTGATAAATAATCAAGAAAAGATTCCCAATGTAGAAATATATTCTGAATTAAACCAGGATAAAGTTTCAATTTTGCAACCAGTAAAGTTTTAGCGTAAGGGAGGAAACCTTGGACTGGAAAACCCATTATCCTTTCTCTAGTACTGTTAAAATGGTGATAAAATTCTTAAATGTTTATTGATATTTTGTTGGTTTATGTTTTGTATGCATATTGTTGTATTATTCCCCTACACAAACACATTAAAGTTGCTCGTCTTTACTATTCATCTTGAGACTCTTTTACCATGAACATAAAATATATTCCAGCAGACGTAACTTTATTTTGACCATTTCTACTAGGTAATACAATGCTGATTCCAAACAAGGACAAATTCGTATTGTGAATCTGAACGAATTGAACTGTCAGACGTTTTATTGAACAAATTATCTTAATCAGAGCTGAAGCTTTATGACAATAAGGAAGAAATAAGTTCTTAAAATGAAACCAAATTGATTCTTTACATCCTTTAATAAAGTTAGTTACATTGGTGTGAGTGTAAGCTAAATAAAAGTATTTAAATCTGTTCTAAAAATGAATTAAAGTAAACCTGAGCTACGGTTAGTGTGTGCCACAGTGACCACAGTCCACAAGGATACCCGCCGTAGGAAGCTGAAATATTTTTTCTTAGTGGGAGAATCAAACTATTGTTACTGAAAAATAATAAATATATTTCCGAAATATACACATATAAATAAATATATATATATACAGATCTAATTCATAGTATATGTGTATCTGTTTATTTGATTGAATAATAAATTGATTATGACCGAAATATTAAAATTCTTTCAAAAATGACAAAAATAGAAAAATCCAACAAGAGAAAAATGCATAGTCTTGTTCTTTAGTTTCTTATTTTAAACAAAGAATGTTTTTAGAACCTCGAGATTATGTTAGTCTCGAGATTAAATATTTAGATCAACAAATTTGATTTTAGGAACGCCAGATTTGTTCTTTTTCTTGACGGAAGGGCCTTCACTTAATTTCTCTCAGATTTATTAATAAATACATTAGTTAAAATTGGCTAAAAAAGTATCTCAAAACTTATTATTTAATATTTTTCTTCACCGATTAATTTACAAAATGGCCGACAACAAATTCGTTATTTGTTAGAAATTGCGAATTTCCCTCATGGGATAGAATTTATTTTCAAGGCTGTTGGTCAATACAATTTACAAACTATATTCCTGCACTCTCATTGGAGTTTGATAATGTTCAAGACAGATTCTAAGTCACAACTCAGTCCCGATGTTTGTTGCTTAGTCAAAAAGAATGACAAAGTAAGCATTCCATATCATTGTTTTTTGTGTTAAGGAAAGATTAAAACTTCCCTTAATATTCTTTTTGTAGTACAGCCTTAGAAAAGGGACTTAGAGTCCATTAACTTCTAATTTGCTATTTCCAGCAAACTGTTCAGAAGTTTGGCAGTTTGGATATCCTGAGCCATTTTTTACCAAAAAGAATGAAGGGGGGGGGGGGGTAATGCATCTTCTTCCCCTCTTGCCAAAACTTGCCTTTTCTAGAGTTTTTTCTTAAGGAATCATAAGGAAGTGAAATCTGCAAGAGACCCCATTGTAGCCCCCGGAAAAATGAAGGATTTCCTACATCTTGTTTTACAACCGAATGAGGAAATATTTGTGGTGTTAAATCCATCCGGAAAGGACAGGGAAAAGCAATGCTTCCTAATTCTTAGTTTATTAAGTCATAATTTGACTGGAACGTTAATATTTTCTCTAAATAGAGTGAGTAAGGCATCAAATTTGATTGCTTGTTGCTTTTGATGCTTTACTACAGGGCCAAAGCATCCAATGTATTGAAATTGAAAGACATNAGTATCTTATACTTATGCCTGATATCCAAGAAGCCAAGTGTTATGAATTTACAGTTCGAATTTTGCCCCCCCCTAGGAGCTCCTAGGGGGGGGCAAAAAAAATTTTTGCGCTTCGCGCAAATCTTGCCCCCCCCTACATTTATTTCTGTATACGCCCTTGCAAGTATTGTTTACAATATTCCTGGTTCATGTACACCAAGTATTGTTTACAATATTCCTGGTTCATGTATACCAAGCTGCCTTCATAGGTCGCAAAAAAATGAAATCCCCTTTCCTTTGTTCTCTTCCCATTGATAATATCTACCTTTGCTTCCCTTGCATCCAATCCATTGTTGATTTGGTTGGATCTTATGATGGGAGGAGTAGAGAGTAATCCAGTCTGCTAGATCCTCTCCTCTTCAAGGGATTGTTAATGTTAGTAAAACCCTTTAACTGATCCTCAATTTTAACAAATGTCATCTCAAAAACTCTAAGGAAAAACTATATAATTCCCAGTAGAAATTAGCTTGATACTACTGAAAATCCGTTCAACAATTTAGATTCAGGATTAAATGGAAATTAAATAAATCAAATCAAATCTTTCGAAGAAGCTGCGAATCTTTAAACGCCATGAAGATTGACATGTTAGGAATGAATGTTTCATATCTTAATTTAATGATTAGAAAAATTTACTTCTGGAAATTGTACGAAAACAAGGTAACAAGAAAGATAGGAAATAAAATTCCAATTTATCCAAAGCTCTAAATATACTATTGTTTGTTTTTACCTGACTGCATCTTCATGCTGATGGATCCAAGCATGAAGTTTCTTTAGAAATATTCCTATCTGAGGACGGGCAGGGAAGTATTTATCTAAATATATTACTCAGTTGATGATCAATCAAGAAAACAATCAATTTATTAAACAAAATTGTACATAACTTATTAAAAAGTGGAGTACACTTCTTTCTATGTCAGTAATAGTATTGTCCTCATCGGGATCATAGACGGAATACATTTATATCCCGGTTCTTTTTTTAACAAATATTCTGGCAAGTTTAACGTTTCAACTGAGAAGTTGTTGCCTCGAGTTGATTAATTCTGGAAATGATTATCATACATCAAACATTGAACTCATGAATAAATAAAAACTGTTCATTAATACATTCTCTATTTAAAGGATTAGAAAAAACCAGCCACGTGTTTATTTTTTGGGGTAGGGTTTTTCGGTTTTTTTGCTTTTTTAAATTTCAAAATAGTTAAAAGTATCTAAATTTCATACTAATTCATAATAATAAGGCTGTTTAAGCAAAAGATGAACTTATGATAATAGATAAAAGATATGAAAAATAATAATATCTTGGGATTATCGTTTATTATCGTTATTTTCAAGTGGGGTTTCTTTGTTTTTTTGGGTGTTTTTTTTTCGGGCTGGTGTTTTTAATGCCAACCCTATCTAGTGTCTATATATGGTCTAGGAGAACCTACCTAGGTCTGTAATATATTTTTATGCCAACCCTGTCTAGTGCCTATATATGGTAGGAGAACGAACCTAGGACTGTAATATATTTTTATGCCAACCCTGTCTAGTGCCTATATATGGAAGAACCTACCAAGGACTGTAATATATTTTTATGCCAACCCTGTCTAGTGTCTATATATGGTAGAACCTACCTAGGACTGTAATATATTTTTATGTCAACCCTGTCTCCTAATATATTTTGATGAAAAAGTTTTTATTTCCATATATGGTATGAGAACCTAAATAGGACTGTAATATTGTGGAATTTGAAGAATTCTTATAAACTTTCAATGTTCAGGATTTCTGAAAAAACCTGGAGAATCCCTGTGATGAATGTGAAGAAGTTGGAGCGGAGAAAGTTGAAACTGAAACTACACATGAAAATTCGAACTTTCTCCTACGTTTCTAAAATTCTTGATTATTTATCCTTATACTAAAGAATCAATGTTCTGAATTATATAACCCTATATATTCTTTTAATCTTATCAAGCCATGAGAAATGTTAATCATGAGCTGTTTTATATAAAATTCTTTATCTTATNTATATTTTTATGCCAACCCTGTCTAGTGTCTATATATGGTAGGAGAAACTACCTAGGACTGTAATATATTTTTATGCCAACCCTGTCTAGTGTCTATATATGGTAGGAGAAACTACCTAGGACTGTAATATATTTTTATGCCAACCCTGTCTAGTGTCCATATATGGTAGGAGAAAATACCTAGGACTGTAATATATTTTTATGCCAACCCTGTCTAGTGTCTATATATGGTAGAAGAACCTACCTAGGACTGTAATATATTTTTATGCCAACCCTGTCTAGTGTCTATATATGGTAGGAGAAACTACCTAGGACTGCAATATATTTTTATGCCGACCCTGTCTAGTGTCTATATATGATAGAAGAACCTACCTAGGACTGTAATTTATTTGTATGCCAACCCTGTCTAGTCTCTACATATGGTCTAGGAGAACCTACCTAGGACTGTAATATATTTTTGAAGAGCCACCAATGCTTCCCCTGCTACAGCAGAATGCTGTGCCACCTAGACAAAAATAATATTAGTATTAGTAGAAGAAAAAGATCATGAAAGACCCCTAATGTGGGATCCCCAGACCGACGCGACGTCCGAGAGAGGGTCTCAGTCAGGTGCTGATTCCCCCACCAGTTCAATCTGGCACCTTAATCTCATTCCCCCTACTCTAAGGGAAATCAACCAAGGCAAGTAAAAACCAGACGCTGTCTAGCCATACAACCTGATGGCGAAAGTGTACCCTACAATCAATAGTGAGATGTGAAGCAGCAGCTACCTAGATGTTATAATGATATAAACAACTAGAATTAATTTACATATGAGGAGAATAATATGCCGAGTTAAAGGGACTGTATACATAATTTCCAGTGACCCTCCATTAACAGAGTGCCATGTCCCATTCACAATTGGTACCCTTTAAACCTTCATCGAGACAACAATGAACAACAATTATCGTTTTTCTCCATGAAAAGTGATAAATTCTGACAATTTCTTTCTTCTTCTCTGAAGCCAAAATCCACAAGTCACCTTGTAAAGAAACCACAATTGGAGATTATCAACTTTAAGCTAGAAAAACAAAGATATCTTCCTCGCCTTCATTTCGACACTGTTTAAAAGTGAACCGTTGTGCTTTGAACATGCCAATCTTTAGATAAAGGGGTAATTAAAATTACGAAATGCAGTCCCTTTAAACAAAGTCTACTAATAATAAAATCTAAATGACCAAAAATACCCATTACACCATTTATATGAAACTGATGATTTTAATAAATAAACCTTCACAAACTAATTCAAATTTCAAGAATTCAGCTTTATCAAAAATTATCAAACTTTAATTAAATTCATTGCATTTAAAAATCACGGTGGATTTGAAAAAGTGATAATCTACAACGTTGGAACTTGATTTCCACAGTGGACACTAGTTTTGAAGTGATTAATTCGTGAGAACAGCTGATACGATTTTTTCCTATTTCAAACTGCAGAGACCAGATTTGATTAGACCTTAAGTCTCACAGATACAGAAAAGGAATTAACTTAATCCGCCGATAAAAAAAAAATACGGATTAATGCTTTAAGAGAAGGGATTAAAGATATACAAGTTTACACCTCTCTGTAAAGTGTAAACCTACCTCATGTGATAATGAATAAAACATAGCTTTCTCCAGATCTGATAAGAACACCTGAAGCAAATTTTATAAAAAGATGAAGGTTTAAGTTGTTTATGGTTTAAGAGACTGTGAGCGTAATTTGAAGTGACCCTTCATGAAAAGATTGCAATGTCAGATGTATAATGGTACCCTTGACATCTTTATATAATATATATATATGATCAATAACCAGAGAAAACACAGTTAAAAACTTACAGTTTTTAAAATTATAAACATTGACATCTAATTAGTACTTGATCAGACAAAGCTTTTAAGAGTACCGTTCTAAATCGGAAAATGCCATCTTTGTATGGAGGTTTACGTGAAATAACGCTTACAGTCCCTTTAAACAATAATTTAAAAATAAAAGTAACCTAAAAAGTTTACGAATTCAGTTTTTCTTATTACCTTATACCGTCTATTAATCAGCTCTTTTTTGGTATTTGTGGTTTTCTCTTTCTTTTCAAGATTTTGAGAAGAATCGAGGGGTGAGGGTTTAGCTCCATCTTCCACCTTGTCCGTGAGTGCAAACTCCTAAATATTAAGTATAAAATGACCCTGATGCAATTAGGCACAAGACCTTCACGAAGTATGATCCAACAACATAAATTTATTTGCGCCACGCTTTTATTATACACTCCGTCCAACTCAACTTTACAAAAATGTTTTAAACCGACTCATCCTGCAGAATATCTAGGTTGATAATATTAATAATAATAGATATAACTGAGAGGGAAACCCCAGACCACCTTCGGTGCGCAGCACATCAATATGCAGCGTATGTTACGGATCCACCAGAAACAATTTAGGGCGGTAAAATTTCAGATAGGGATTAAGGTTTGTTTCCTTAATTTTTTATCTTATCTAAAGCTATAGTAATAATTTTAGTAATAGTACCTAAGTACTTAGCACATTATAAAGTAATACTAACTAGCTGAAGTGTCCGGCGTTGCCCGTCGAATTTTAGAGACACTTGAAAACAAAATTTTGAATTTTTTAGCTTATTTTACTACCGAGGTACTCAAGGGTTCCCTCAAAAAATTCTGACAATTTTGTCCAAACGTTTGGCCAGCTATGGCAAAATATACAAATGTTTACAATACATATATATATATTAGCAAAGAGCTTTCTTAGATAGAAAATAGCCAGTAAAGCATTATTACGTGGAAATCAAGGCAATTGTTGTAAGGAGGTTAAAAAGAGGTTGGGGCCCACATAAAGTTAAGAAGGTTTTAATTTTCAGAGAAAAAATATGTTACTTCATCAAGAAATGTCTCACCTTAGATTTTGACCAAATATAATCTTTAATTGCAGCAGACCAACTTTCTTTATTCACCTCGGACACTGGTCATTTATTCAGTTTAAATATTGAAAAAATTGAAAAAACTGAAAATAATGAAAATATTAAAATCAAGAGCGAAAAAGAATGAAAATAACAATGATACTGATAATGATTATAATGTAAAAAATAATAACCTCAACTATGATGACGATAATAATGATATAAATGATAATAATGATGGTAATAATAATAATACAAATTAAGTTGAATGCCTGAAAGCTCGTGCTTGAAGGACATCTCTTTGTCCAGTACAAGGATATTTGGCCCCTTAACATAACATATTTTCAACATGTATTATATATCGTACATGCAAAGAGAAATTTCGGATTGTGTTTCTGTTTGTATGTTTGATTATGCAATTTTGATTGGAGAACTTGGTAAAACCACGGGATTATTCTTATCCTGGTTTAAACATTCTAATTTAAGTTTATTGAGTACATTTGATTTTTTTAGATTTTCCAGACAAAGCTGGGTCCCCTACATAAAATTTTAGACCCAGCCTTAATCATTTTCATGATATTGGCAAATGTTGCAACGAAAAACAAAAAATATTTTATAATCTGAAAGTAAAATTTAATCCTTACCGAAAGTTCATTAACCCATGGCCCAGAAGTCGGTGATTTAATAGCTCTACGTAGCTGTAGTGGTATATTTAACTTCCTGATCAGCAACAATTGTTTTTTTTTTATCAATTTATATCTTATTTTTAAACTTAAACTTTCATTTGATCTTCTAATAGTCATTTTTAAACTTAAACTTTCTAAATTTGAATAATGGTTGACGAGTGAATAATAAAATAAGCACACTCTATTACAAAAGCGAAATTGCATATAAAAAAAAAGATAAATACTAAATACTGATAACAGGTTTCATCGATAATAATAATAAAATAGATAATTGTGATATTGGTAAAAATAATCCCTAATTGAAGAATCTAAATCCAGAATAACTTCGCTTGCAATACTTGATCCTTGCTCCTCCACTGCAAACAAAATAGATGAAGAGATGAAGAGATGGATAAATGGATAAATACATGGATAAATGAATAAATGAATAAATGGATAAATGAAAAAAATAAATAAATGAACAAATGAACAAATGAAGAAAGGATTAAATAATAAATGAATCAATTAACTAACGAATAAATGAATTAAATATCTTATGAGTATTTATTTACATAATGTGAGAGAAAAATAAATCATAAATAAATAAATAAATCAGGGAAATGACACATTTTTCAATAAATAGATAAATGATTTGCAGATCAATCTAAAACTATGATTCTAATTGATTCAAGAGTTTTAAAAACGGGCAATGAAAAGGTAATGAAAAGGTAATGAAAAGGTAATGAAAAGGATAAGACCCTTGATTTTATATCGAGAGTTAGTAAGAAAAGATTAAGCAAAATAATAATATAAAAATACCTAAAAGTAGAATGTAAAATTTAGTTGAATCCATCCAGAGATCCTCTAACCTTGTACCACTAAAAAAAAATTGTGTTCGTTAAATTTTTTTAATTCAAAATTTACAAATTTGAAAATTAAAATAACGGAAAACACAGGTACAATTTTATATTTCATGTTTTGTTTTCCATTGCCACGAGAATTCGTATATTTTAATCATAAAAAAACATTGTAAGAAAATTTACAACTTTTTAAATAGTTTGCAAACCTGAAAGGTTTGATATTTGGCCAGATGTCAAGATAATGTGTTTGGTTTGTCTCAACATCTCTTAGATAATTCAGCATTTCTCCCTAATCAATCAATCTATCAATCAATTAATCAACACACCATTCAATCAATCAATCGATAATTAAATCAAATCAACAATCGATAATATAATCAAATCAATCTATGAACCTAACTTTCAGTCATATCGATCTATGACCCTCACTATAAATCAAATCAATCTATGAACCTATCTATAAATCAAACCAAATATCACAGTTTAATCTAACCTTGATACTTTCAATACTCAGTGATCCACGCTTACAATCTGAAGAAAAAAATAATATTTCGTTTATTAATTAATTTGTCTAACACATTTATCTATCTTAAACATATCTTTTCACCTTTTCCCTTAAAATCTGGAGATGCCTTTGGAGGGAAAAGTCTCAAAGACGGATATCCCATTATCTAAATTTACAAAATAAAATATATAATACTATGTAATTTGTATGAGCGACATTCTGAATTTTAAATATTGATTTTAAGGATGAAAAAAAGTATTAGAATGAATGGCAACAAAAAAAAACAATAAATAGAGTAGAAGAGTTGACACATAAATGGATGATGAATTATTGAATGATTGAATGCATGAATGAAAGACGGTTAATGAACATGAATGAATAAATGAATATTTTAAGGTTAAATGCATGAAAGACGGTTAATGAACATGAATGAATAAATGAATATTAAATGGTTAAATGCATGAAAGACGGTTAATGAATATGAATCCATAAATGAATATTATATGGTTGAATGCATGATTGATAATGTTAATGTATTACTAATGAAAATTCGGAGGATGAATATTGAATATGAATAAACAAATGAATAATTTATCGTTGAATGCACGAATGAAAAACGGATAATGAACTTAAACGAATAATGAATGAGTGAATGAATGAATGATGATTATCTGGTTGAAAGGATGAATGAAGAACGGATAAATAAATAAATGAATCTATTTACATATGTATTGTTACACTTACATCATATTCCCTGCAAATAGGAGTATTAATATCATTGGCACAATCTATAGCAGCCACACGAATTATATTCTTCCAGCCTATATAGATAAATCGGTTGATGATGGAGTGGGGCCGACGGGGGCGGGAGGGGGTTTAATCGGGGGGAAATAAGAATACGTTTTTGTGATTTTTATTAATTTAGTTAGCCATTTAGAAACGACAAAAGATTTTATTTGAAAAACTTCAAATTTTTGTTTTGGTAAAATTACAAGGTTCATAACTATTTAAGAAATTATAAATTACTCGAAAAAACGAGGCCAAGGTTAAAAATATTCATTTTGCTCCTTTAATCTTAGACTATTATATAATTACTTAAAAGACTCAGTAACATTTCGTCTAGTACACTTTCGTCCAATTACATTTGGTCTAGTAACATTTTGCCTAATTGACATTTCGTCTAAGTAACATTTGGTCTAAGTAACATTTAGTCTAAGTAACTTTTAGTAAGTAAATTGGTCTAAAACTACAGAATTGGTTTAACTAACTTTAAGAAAGGAGTAAGTAACATTTTGTCCAAGTAACTTTTGGTATAAGTAATTTTTAGTAAGGAATTTGGTTTGAAGTACTTATCAACAAAATTACTGGTTGAGTATCATAATTAATCCCGCCATTGAGTTCCTCTCAGTTCAACGTGTTTAAGAAGAGTGGAGAATTTCTCCTATACGAATTGCGGATTTCTTGATTTTGTTTCACGGGGTTTTTCCATTTTTTGCAGTGTTAAAATAAAATCACTTAACATTTTTTTCAGACCAAATTACTTAGACCAAATGTTACTTAGACGAAATGTTACTTAGACGAAATGTTATTTAGACCAAATGTTACTTAGACCAAATGTTACTTAGACCAAATGTTATTAGACAAAAAAGAACTAGACGAAGATGAACTAGACAAAAGTGAACTTAGACGAAAGCGTACTAGACGAAATGTTACTGAGCCAATGATGATCTAACCTAAAAATTAAATAATAGGCAACATTTAGATCAAGAGATTAAGTTATTATAAATTTCTATATTAAAATTTATCAGGGCGATTTTCTAAAAATGTGACTATGTTTATTAATACCATATACTTCAGCTCCAAGTTGTTTATACGTTGGAGCAAAATGTTGACAGTGTCCGCACCAACTATCAATCAAGCATTAATTAGTTAATCAATCCATCAATCAGTTAATCAATCAATACATTAAACAATCAGTTAATTAATCAGGTAATCAATCAATTAGTTAACCAATCCATTAATTCATCAATCAATACACCAATCCATTTATCAATAAATCAATCCATTAATTGATCAATAAATCAGTAAGTTGAGCAATCAATCACTCAGTTAATTAATCGATTAATCAATAAGTAAATCAACCAGTTGATCAATCAATCAATTAATCGATTAATCAATAAGTTAATCAATCAATTAATTAATCGATTAATCAATAAGTTAATCAACTAGTTAATCAATCAATCAATTAATTAATCGATTAATCAAAAGGTTAATCAATAAATTAATAAACAAGTAGAACATAGACCATAAAATAAATTGTTTGAGAGTTATGAATAATTGATTTGGGTTTCCTAGAATAGAATTCAACCAACCAGGCAGTTGAAGAACCCAATACAGTTTCCTTAATAAAAATATCATAATTATGCAATACCAGCATTATCATTCTGACTTTAGAGTTTAGGGGCGATTAGCGTACCGAATTTCGCAGATTGTTTTTGTAAGCATTGATAGATTTCTCAAAAAATTTGTAAATGTCGTTATTTTTTGTATTTAAGACTACAATTAAAACTTATGAGCAATGCTTTATCATCCAATATCTTACGATACCCCCCCCCCTCTCTAACCATGAAACAAAATACCTTAAAACTGTTTATGTCAAGAAGTGTCAACTTGTCTTCTGGAGAATACAGGTCTCCACCCCAAGTCTAGGGAAACAGCAATTCAATCAATCAATCAATCAATTAATCAAGTAAGTAATAGCACTGGCGGACTCATTAATAGCCCACTTAATCATTCGAAATACATAGAAAAAGAGCACTACCAACAAATTTGGCCATTTTGATCAATTCTAGAATTTGGCGTTTGTCCAATCAGTCAATATTCTTTGTAAACTGACAAAAATTTACCTGAGTACTGTGAACAGATATCAAAAGAAGAAATCCAAATCCATTTTTCATACTTTCTGTTTTAATAAATCATGATATTTTTTGGCAATAATTTATTTCAGGGGTCGAAACCGCGTTGATCATACCCCACAATTTTCCATAAAATTGAGTTAATGACAAACTAATAGGGCCCAGTGTTAAAAAAAGTTTTCAACTGATGACTGACATCAAAAAAGAATTCCTGCATTTCACTATTCTACTATTCTGAGATTTGATTGTAACATATTTAACCCGATCATATCAGGGACAAACAAATCTCTTTATAGATAAAAAGACAAAACAACAGCAAATTAAAAAGGCCTATTCATCTGGATTCTTGTCTACCCTCTTCTTGGTATGAATAAACGTGGATGCATGATTGAGCTGCCAGATAAACAACCCCTGCCAGCTCAGTAAAAAAACTACATTAAACTTTCGCAATAGAAAAAATTTCAAGATTTTTATCGTAACAACCCGATCATGTCTCGGGGAAAAATTTATTTTTGATAAAAAAGAACACTTTGAATTAATACTAAAATGTCAGAAACACTTTGAATTAATACTAAAATGTCAGTAACACTTGAGAAAATAATAAAACTGATTTCAATGTTTTCTACGTAATCTGATATCTCCTTCAATTATAATTCCAAAAACACGAAACAGATGAAATCTGATATTTACTAGGATAAAGCTTAGCTCTATCTTTAAAAGACATGAAAGGGGAGGAGATGAGATGTATAGAATAATACCGTTACAATTAAAAATGTATTTAACTGCATCACAATTTAGAGGTGAGAAAATGTTCGAGGCAAGCGGAGAGTCTATAAGGATAAAGTTGATATTTTGTTTTCACTGCTCAATAACCGGTTAAGTGTCATGTAAGTATATACTTCAGGGGAAATTGGGGTGGGGAAATCTTAACTATTTGATTAATTAGAAGTCGTAATTATGGGAAGATATATTTACCAAATAAAAAGTTTAATTAGGCCTAGAAAAGATTATTAAAATTTATTTTAAAATCTTCACAAATCTTCACATTATCCCTGAGCTGTTGGAATACGGTTCCGCGATAATCTCATCACGACTCACAGACTCACAGTCACGTCATTGAAGATAATTATTAAAAAATACATTGATCATACGCGCAAAATTGTCAAAATACCGCGTTTAAATCTCATTTCGAAATTTATAATAAAAGACGATCACTGCAGCTTCAATGTGGTTTTAGCATTCTCTTAAATAATCCTTATTTAAGATTTGCATCAAACACGACTTCAGCATAATTAGTGCTTTACAACGTTCTTTTGAATTTGAAGATACTAAATATTAACGGTAAAATTGTATTTAAAGATTAGTCGAAGACGACATTCAATCAGTTATTCTTTCTTTACTAAAAGTTATTAACTTAACAGCTGATAGTGATCAGTTTCGATATTTAAGATGCCAGTAATTAGGCATAAAGAAATAAATGATAATCAATCAATCAATCAGTTTCGATGTTTAGATGTAAATTTTTTAATCTTTATTCGCTTAATGACGAAATGAAACTAAATTATGAATAAAAATCTTGAAAAGTGTTAAATGATTTTGTTTAATATAGCACCTACATTTTTTTAGATATAATTGATTGATAAACGTTTTTTTTCTTTGAGTATCAATTGGGCAAGCGATCCTGGTAGATCCTAAAATGTTTTTTTTAAAGATTAAGATAAACAGACCCCAAAGCCAGTGAATTTCCTAATCGTGGACTCGACCCATTGCATGTAAAAAAAGTGAATATTATAATATTTTACTCCTGCAGTCTTAAATCATATGATTAATGGTAATTTCCTAGAGAGGTATTTGGGCCCCCTCCCCTCGCCCCCTTCATAAAGAAATGTACATGAGTTGTTCAACATGTGGCCGCAGCTTATACTCTGAAACAATTCAAATGTCATGTACATTTTTTTGATGAAGAGTGGATGGGAGGGGTGGGGAGCGGGTTTGGGGGTCCATAGATATTTCTCTAGGACTAAGCCTTCTAAATTTTATAGTTTTCACTGACCTCAAGTTAAGCTTTCTATTTTAAATGCAATATCTTCAAGAAAAATGGAGGAAAATTGTGTAATTATTGAATTGAACCAAGAAAAAGAGGAAAAGTTGAGTGATGAATTATGTTCCACACAAACGGAAGATACTATCAAAATGGAAAGAAGCGAGAAAGGTAAGCAATTATTTTTATTTTCTCAACCATCTTATCCATCTATTCCAGAACAACAAAATCTCCAAATGTCTCTATAGTTCACTTCCTTATGAATCCTTATTAAAGTTAACACGAAATCTAGTAACTAGGCTTTTAGGGCACTTCGCGCCCAGCTTCTATTTTAATTGTGAACATTTTCTCTTTGTATACTTTGTAGAACAAAAACAAACAAAATAATGGATTTGCAAAATTTGACAAAAATCCAATTTTGCTGGAGGCAAAGTTTTGAAATTTTGATCCTCAATAAACTTTCCCATGGGTCACGTGATGTCCCACACAAAATGTGGGCCCGATCGTTTCAGCCGTTTTGACGTTTATTGGATACAAACAAACAGACAAGCAAAGTGTATATATAGAAGAGGTGCTATTATCATTCTATCAATATTTAATAATCTATTTATTATTATAGAATGTTCTGATTATGAGAATATAGAAACAATCCAAGGATATAATCTTTTTAAACAAGAAATTGTTCAAGTCTCCGATGCTGTCAACCTTCAGACTGTTTTTGTAAAAGAGGATGACGTCAAGATTGAAATCAAAGGTAAATCATTACTAATTTTCTGCATTTTTTAAAGTGGGTTATGCTTTTTTAAAACTTTAAAAAGGCAGACCACAATTTGGAATTTGTTATTATTCATTATTAAGTCATTTAAAGATCTCAAAGCTGGCTCTCAACCGTCAATTTTTCCGTTATTATCTGTACTGCTAAATAGAAATTAATACATAATCATCAGAAAATTGCTTGAAAATTGCAGATTTCAGATGTACAGAGCTTTAGAAAAAAGTTTAGAAAGGAAAAACATTTTGTTTGAAAATGATTTAAAATTACCAGAGAAACAATAAATTTCAGTTGATTTTGACTGGTGGTGTGAATTAGATATGTTTTTAGGACAAGTTCTGGAAAATTATATTTCAATCCCCAAGACTGAATATTCCTGTTTTGAATGCAAGTATTTCACTTGTAAACGAACAAACTTTATGAAACACATTGTGAGTAAACAGGATGGACAAGTTAAGTATCCCTGTGACAAGTGCAGGTACATCCCTGGATCAATTACAAATTTAAAGTTGCACATTAAAAGAATTCATAAAAAACTCGGCCAAACCTGCGAAAAATGCGGATGTATTGCATCCACACAGAAGGAACTAAAGAAGCATGTTCAGGAGTGCAGGGTTGTTGTCAAATTTCCATGTGAAATGTGTGATTTTTCTGCAACAACTTTAAAAAGGTTTGAATATCATGTGCAAAGAAAACACACTGAAAAAGGGTTTCCATGTTCCGAATGCAAATATGCTGCAAGCACTGAAAAGATTCTGAAAAAGCACTTCGAGACAAAACACCTCGTCAAGTATCCATGTGATCAGTGTGATTATGTGGCAACTACGCTAGTGTTTCTGACAGGACATAAAGAACGGAGACACGAAGGGTTAAGGTATTTGTGCGATAAATGTGAATATTTTACTAACACTGCAAGAAATCTAAAGATTCACAAAGATGGAAAACATGAAGGTTTGGGTTTTCTGTGTGATAAATGTGATTACTATTCCATCACAGCATCAACTCTAAAGCTCCACATGGAAAGTGTGCATGAAGGGGTGAGATACCCCTGTGATCATTGTGAATATAAATCAACCTCTATGGGAAGTTTGAGGGTTCATATAGCAAGCATTCATGAAGGAGTAAAATATCCCTGTGATAAATGTGAATTTTCTGCAACATCAAAACGGATATTAAAGGGGCATAAGCAGAATAAACATGATGGAATTAGACATCCCTGTAACTCTTGTGACTACATTGGAACCACTGCAAATCTTTTAAAGCATCACATCAGGAAAAGGCATGAGGGATTTAGTATTCCATGTGATCAATGCGAGTTATCGGTATCCTCTCTTCATAGTTTAAAGAGACACAAAATGGCTAAACATGAAGGAATAAAGTATCCCTGCAGTGAATGTGGATTTTTTGCATCATCAAGCTGCATCTTGAAAACACATAAGTTGAATATACATGACGGGGTTAGACATCCTTGTGATAAATGTGAATTTATTGCTACTACAGCCAGAATTTTAAGGCAACATCTGAAAAGAAAGCATTAAAATGATTAATAAATGTTATTTTTTCAGATTAAAGGGACAGTAAAGGAAAAATTAAAGGGGGTATAGGCTGAAAGCTAATCACTTTAGCTCTTGATCGTGACCCATGAAAGTTTTATCTGATGTTCCTGTCTCGAGAAATTGATATAAAACTGTGTTATAATTATACGAAAATTCATATATGTAAAATTTTGAAAATCTGAAACTTAAATCACGTGACCAGAACTATCACCAATGGCAGAACAGTATACTGGTCACGTGTCTCCGCCTGTATCACGTGATCACTTTACTGCACTGCCATTGGTGGAATTTCTGGTCAAGTAATACGGACGTAAAAATAATATTATGAATGAAATCTATTGAAAATAGAAACAACAAATATAAAAGTAAACCTAAATTACAATTAGCTTTCTCTGGGATATCATCTTTTTTAGATTGGTTGCTGTTTTTCTGAGCATGGTCTGTTTAAACCTACTATTTCTATACGAAATTGTATATATATGCATTTTCGTACAAGTTTGAAACAGCTTTATATCAACTCTCGAGTTAGGAACTTCAGATAGGCGTCTCAAGGGTCTCGATGAAAAGCTAAAGTTATTAGCTTTTAGCCTATACCCCCTTTCATTTTTCCTTTACTGTCCCTTTAAACACTTTTTTTAATCTGTTATTGATCTAAAACAGTTGCCAAATTAACACAAATGTATCCCTATCCAATCTATCCTATCCTATCCTATCTTATCCTATCCTATCCTATCCTATCCTATCCTATTCTATCATCCTATCCTATCCTATCCTAGCCTATCCCATCCCAATCTGTCATGCATTCACCTGCTGATCAACTGACAGTTCATTGCTTCTTCAAATCTTGTATTTGTTTTCTATCTAGTCCATATTCCCATCCCACCCATGTTATCATCCCTGTGTGTAGTATCTATAATCTATATTTTTCAACACCTTAAGATCCACTTTCCCTATTTTTAACTCTACCCCCCCCCCCCCTCCAAAAAAAAATGTTTCTTTTTCATCAGTTGGAATTTTTTCTATTTAAGAGGGCAAATCAAGTGTAACTTCAATTATTTTTTTGATTTAATTTTTTTATGAATTTCTGTATACTTTTCTTGTTTTCCTTTCCAAAAAAATGTCATAATTTTGTATAAGGTTAAATTGAGCATTGAGAAACTTAAAACAAATATTGCTCATACTTTTAAATTTGAACTTTTGATTTTGCACACAATTTTGCACACAGTTGAGATCTCTCAAGATAATGTGAAACTACGATCTAAATCCTTATTTAATATGATAAATGTGAACATGTGTCACACAACGCCAGCCATTTGAAATATCATATTAAAAGCAAATATGGAGGTAAATGTTTCCATGTACCCAGTCCAGTGTCATTTTGTTACGGTAATCGAATCTTATCTAAAGAGCACATGATAAATCAACATGAAGGGGTGAAATTTCCATGTAGTGAATGTCCATTTGTTTCGTCTTGGAAACAGTATCTCAAAAAGCACAAACAAGAAAACATGAACACATCAGATATTTTTATATTGTTATGTTTCCAAGGACTATATCTAAGGATATTATCAGAGAATACATAATATTTTATGTTTCCAAGGACCCTATCTAAGGATATCATAGGATAATACAGATTATTTTATGTTTCCAAGAACCCTATCTATGGATATTATAGGAGAATACAGATTATTTTATGTTTCCAAGGACCCTATCTATGGATATTATAGGAGAATACAGATTATTTTATGTTTCCAAGAACCCTATCTAAGGATATTATAAGAGAATACAGATTATTTTATGTTTCCAATGACCCTATCTAAGGATATTATAAGAGAATACAGATTATTTTATGTTTCCAAGGACCCTGTCTAAGGATATTATAAGAGAATACAGATTATTTTATGTTTCCAAAGACCCTAACTATTGATATTTTAAGAAAATACAAATTATTTTATGTTTCCAAGGACCCTATTTAAGGATAATATAAGAGAATACAGATTATTTTCTGTTTCCAAGGACCCTTTCTATGGATATTATAGGAGAATACATATTATTTTATGTTTATGTTATATTGTTATGTTTCCAGAGACATTATCTAAGGATATTATAGGAGAGTACAGATTATTTTATGATGACAATTAAAATTTAATTGTTAACGATTTTTATGGCTGCTTTTTTCATGAATGTTATCCTTTTTAAAGATTTTTATATTATTTATGAAGGGTTCTAATTTTTTGTTATTTTTTTTGTTGCATTTTTTTGCCTTTGTTTTTTATTTTGATTTGGACATGCACTCTATAAATGTTGGGTCACTTGAAGTTAGGTCAAGCTTTAACACTCAACAATCCCTTTTCAGAAGATTAGCAAGAACAAAAACTGGCGATTATCTCTATATTTCCTTGAAATTTAAAAACTATTTTAAAATATCTTTAAATCAGAAAATATGGTGTTACTCAATGAAAATTTAAACCAAGAATTGTTCTATTACTTTTAACAATAAACCCTTTGTTATTTTTATATAATTTTTCAGAAAAATGGAAAGATTTGTAAAAGAATTGTAAGTGGAAGATTAAGAGAAGAAACGGAAGAAGAGATGGACGGAAGTGTGTCTCCCAAAAAAGAAGAGGATTTTACTCCTAATCAGCAGACAGAGGACATGACGATTGAAAGCTTGGAAGTTAAGGGTATGATTAGAAGACTAAAGAATTTTTCAAAATGAGCTTGCCTCCAAAATTTGGTCTTTTAATAATTAAAATGTATTGCACCCCCATGCCTTTACTTCTATGGCCTTTTACTAGGGGAGGGAACGTTTCGGTAATGTTGATCCGCTCTACTGCCCATCCGTCCTATTGCCCATCCGCTATACTGCCCATCCGACCTACTGCAACATCTGACCTACGACAGCTGTAGGTCGGATGGGCATATCTTCTTGCCCATCCGACCTATTCAGCAGCTTTTGTCATGCCTATAGCGCAGTAGGGTAGAAATAAATAATTGTAGCTGTCGGACGGTCAATATCAATTTCGTAGGTCAGATGGGCACTTTTTGTAGGTCGGATGGGCAACCACGTGCTTGTAGGTCGGATGGGCAGTAGAGGGGATGGGCGTAGGTCCAAAAATACACCATCAACGTTTCTCCCCCAACCAATATTTTTGAACCCTAAACTCATTTTTTTTACAGTTCTCCGACGTATGTCTTTGATTCCTAATTTACATTAAAGTTAGCAGTACAAGTTTTTTAAAAATCAACTGGTTTCAATCTTTTTATTAGGGTTGATATTTAATATCTTTCTCTTTCAGTTGATGTATCTATAGATATTGAAGATCTACCATTGGAATCGGAACTTTTATGTGATAGATGTGAATATGTTACATCAAATGCTAGCGACCTAAACCATCATATCAAGAGTCAACATGAACGGCTAAAGTTTCCTTGTTCTCAATGTGATTTTGTTACTCCAAATGGACCATATCTAAAAGAGCACATCAAGAGTAAACATGAAGGGGTGAAATTTCCTTGTGATAAATGTTCATTTATCTCGTCAACTAAAAAACTACTTAAACGCCACAATGATGTGAAACATGAGCACATCAGACATCCATGTAACCAATGTGAACATAAGGCATTCAGTGTTGGAGATTTAAGAAAACACATTTTGATGAGACATGTAGGAGTAAGATATCCATGTGATAAATGTGATTATTCTGCATCTCAATTAAGCAACCTAAGCGAACACAAGAAGGTTAAGCATGGAGGAGTAAAATATCCTTGTCCAATTTGTGAACATACGTTGAATACCCATGGGGGTTTAGTAAAACACATTACAAGTAAACATGAAGGGAAAAGGCATTTCTGCAAAAAATGTGACTTTTCTGCTACTTCCGTAAATAGCCTTAATATTCATATTCGGAATAAACATGAAGGAGTTAGATATTTTTGTGACAAATGTGATCATGTTTCGACGACAGTTAAAAATCTCAAAACGCACATTGATAGTCAGCATGAAGGAATAAGATATCCTTGCGATAAATGTGAATATGTTGCAACAAGATTAAGTTACTTGAAGATTCACATTGAAAGTAAACATGAAGGGGTGAGTTATCTTTGTGATAAATGTGACCATACTGCCTCTACACCAGGAAACCTCAAGGTTCATAAGAAAAACAAGCATGAAGGATTTAGATTACAATGTGATGTATGTCAATATTCGTCAACAACTGCCGGTGGTCTAAAGAAACATGTTAAAAGTAAACATTAAATGTATTTGAGCAGCTGCACTTTTTTAACATACTATTAAAGGCGGCCAGGTTGGTCATAATATTAAAAAATAGTTCATATTTGAATTTTGTTTTCGGTTGTTGGAATTTTGGCAATTTGAAATTATTTATTATTGTTTCGTTTAGTTATTAATACATTAAATAAATGACATGCACAAGGAAACCCAATGATCAACACTCAACAGGATTAAATTGTAAATTATTTTACGAGAATGGCCATTCTGGGTAATTATGTCAGAGGGGTTTTAAACAGTAAGCGGAGAGTAAAAATCCTGGAACAAAATTATAATGTGACGTCCTGAGGTTTTTCTCAAGGACTTTGGATTCGCAGATATGCAGAACGATCATTGACATAATGTCATAAATGCATGAGGGTTAATAGACCTGACCGCAAAACTTCCAGAAGAAATTCTGTGTCTTATATATTTCTGGGAATGTATAATGTAAATAGATAAATAAATAAATATACGCATTTAATTGATTTAGGAGGCCTGGAGGATTGTAAAAGTTTGAACTTTTGATTTTAATTGTTTTTGATTTAAATTTTTTAATTTTAACCTAACCTTGTGGAAAGTTTTAAATAAAAGTTATTTAAGAGGTGAAAAAGAACAAAAACAAATGCTACTAGCTAAATAATGACTAATTTTGTTCCTATAATAAGCAACTATTAATTGATGCTAGTATAAAATCCAGATATATATTATTGTTTTCCAATTTAATTTTCCTGCTGTCCCGAATTTTCTGTATTTTCCTGCTGCCCTGTATTCACTTTATTTTCCTGCTTCCCTGTATTTACTGTATTTTCCTGCTGCCCTGTATTTTCTTTATTTTCCTGCTTCCTTGTATTTACTTTATTTTTCTGCTGCCCTGTATTTACGTATTTTCCTGTTGCACTGTATTTACTTCATTTTCCTGCAGCCCTGTATTTATTTTATTTTCCTGCTGCCCTGTATTTACTTTATTTTCCTGCTGCCCTGTATATACTTTATTTTCCTGCTGCCCTGTATTTACTTTATTTTCCTGCTGCCCTGTATTTACTTTATTTTCCTTATGCCCCGTATTTACTGTATTTTCCTGCTGCCTTGTATTTACTTTACGTTCCTGCTGCCCTGTATTTACTTTATTTTCCTGCTGCCCTGTATTTACTATATTTTCCTGATGCCCCGTATTTACTGTATTTTCCTGCTGCCTTGTATTTACTTTACGTTCCTGCTGCCCTGTATTTACTTTATTTTCCTGCTGTCCTGTATTTACTTTATTTTCCAGCTGCTCTGTATTCACTTTATTTTCCTGCTGCCCTGTATTCTCTTTATTTTCCTGCTGCACTGTATTTACATTATTTTGCTGTGTTGAATAAGGCATACATCATAGCTATTTAATTATATTCTCCTTTGAAAAATATTCTTGTATACATTAATTTACATTGTTTTCAAAAAAAATATAGCTAAAAATCCCAAAATAAGAGTGGGTAAAATTTGTATTTGTATTTCTGTTGTAGAACTCGAGTCCAATAATATTATCTAAAGTTGTATTTTTTTTTTAAATGTGAACAATGAACATTGTACTTTGTACTGTTTGCAACTAATTCACTTCAATAGCTGATAACTGGAAGATGTTAATGAATTCTGTTCAAACATAGATCCAAATTTAGAGTTGTTAATCGTTTTTGAAAACGATCGTTAAACGATCGTTATTTGTTTTGTTTTTCAATTGCTTTTAAGAACAATAGTTTCCTTTCGGAAAAAAATATCGTTTTTAAAAACGACCCCACTCGTTTTGAACTTTTAGAAAACGAATAACGATTGTTTCTTAAAAGGATCGTTTTTATAAAAACGATTTGCGACAGTTTTTTATAAGATTGTTTTTAAAAAAAAACTATCGCTTTTGAAAAAAAACGATCTTTTTTGAAAAATTATGTTAACGATAGTTATCAAAGGGTCGTCAAGGGTTGTTGTTAACAGTCCTTTTTGGAAAAACGATCGGTTTGAAAAATAAATTGCATGCTTTAATGAATCTCGTCTTACATGAAGTTAAACAGTTGTGGGGGTTCAGGTGCCCTTCAGGTCGGTTTCCTCTCTCTTTGTTAACGATTGACAACGAAACGAGTTTTATAAAAACGATCGTTTTAATAACGACCGTTTTTCAAAGCGATCGATTTTAAAACGACCATTTTTAAAAATCGAACTTTAAAAAAACAATCGTTTCGTTTTCGATTTTTCGTCATCGTTTTCGATTTTTCGTCATCGTTTTCATAACGAAACCATCGTTTTTAAAAAAAAAATCAAAACGCTTACATCCCAAAAACTAATACGGAATTTTGAAAGCTGACCAGTCACTGTGTCTGGCAGATTACTACGGCAGAGACTAAAATGTGAAGTATTTGAAGAGAAGTTAAACATTTATTATGAACATTTAAAAGATGTAAGTTTACAATTCTTTAGTCATCAACCAACTTCCTTTGCATCGGTTGTAAACTTGTCTCCAATTATTCTAAAAAATATATATTTTTAACTAAATTATGTTTAAAAGTGTTGCATTTATTTGTTAAATAATAGATTGAGCAATGTTTAGAGAGGGTGGAGTTCACTTAAAGTATGACGAGTATAAAACATAATTTGTATAAAGAGTACAACTAAGCAGGGCTTACGATCTACAACATTTTCGAATCCTGGATCCGGATCCGAACCTGCAAAAATTTTCGGATCCAACAAAAAAATGCAAACAAATCTTTTGCTCTCAAAATTCAAATTTGAAATATTAAAATATTTCCTTATCTCTGAAGGTTTAAAAAAATGGCAAAAAAAGATGAAAAATTGTTACAATATTTTTCTTCTGTAAATCTTATCTTATCAGTAAATCTTAGAGAAATATTCATGACCTGGATCCGGATCAATTTTTTGCATTGCGGATCCATGAACCGGATCCGGATCTGCATCAAAATCAAATGAATCTTAAGCAGTAAGCACTGCAACTACTGTATTTTCATAAATAGTTAAAGGAAATTAAATAAAAGTTTAATTCGATGAAAGAGCGTTTATATTTTTTTTATTCATTTAAACGTTTGAGGATTAAACCAGGGATAGCTTTATTACTTAAGATTTCGAGTTCTAGAGAAGCCACAAACATTCCATTTAACAAATGGAAGTTAAAAAAAAAAAACAATCAGCTATTTTTTCACAGATTTGGTGTTTATGTTCTTTGTAATAGTAGCATTGAAGACAAGATCCATGTTTATATCTTACCAAGCCATCTACAGTAATCTGAAGGCAGGAGAGAAGCGAGAATCCTAGAAGCAGGCCAAGTAGTCCTCCAATACCATTTATTAATTCCCATTCATCATAAATCAAAGTTTCCTCTTTAACCTGTAAAAGAGTTAGAATCAGAGGCCGAATTGAAAGAATTTAAACCGCGTCACTGAACCGCAAAAACCCGGTTCCAACTGAGCGCCGGCTCAAAACTGAATACAATTTTAAGTGGAACCAACAATTTTTGAGCCTAAGTCTCAAATCTGAGACGCGGCTCAAATTTCTTAAATTCGGCCTAAGAACTATTTAATATATTAATCATCTTCCATTTTTTGCTGTCTGTAGTTATGAGCATTGTGCAACTTAAGTTGTATTTTATTTTTGAAAGATTCCACAACAGTCTGGAAAGTTTTTTTTAAATATCCCATTTTTTATAATATTTAGAATTTATGCAAGTTTTAAATAGGTTTTTTTGGTAGTTTTAATTATGGTAATTTGAAATTATTAACATGTAATTTTCTTTTAATTGATTGATTTAAGAAATTAACAACTTGCACAAGTAATACCAATGTTTAACAGGATTAAATTCTTAGTTTCTTTCATAATTTTTTTCTCAATAAACTGTAGGATGGCTATTTTAGGTACAAATATATACACATTTTAAGGGAAAGAAAGAGATAATCCTGAAAACAAATGGTTTTAATGTGATTTGCTGGGGTTTCGTCACTGAATTGGGGATGCAGGTCTGCAGTAGGATCAAGGAAAAGATGTCCTTGATGCACAAGGGTTGATAGACCAAAGCCTAAAAGATTCCAAAAGAAATTCTGCAGCAGAACGAACTTCGGATCGTATATTGCATTAACAAAAACAGTTTGACCAATTTCAAAGTTATTTATTCTAAATTTGCTTTCCTTATATCATTCCAAATTTTGACCTTAGAGAAGAAATAGGCAAAAATTGAGTCCCAAAAAGGAAGTTTAAAAAATATTGTTTTTTGTTCGTTTATCCCCTTATAATTTCTCTACGGATAAAGAATAATTTCATTGTTTTGTAAAAAGAAACTTTTACAGAGAATAGTTTTGAAATGTTGGAACCTTCCCAAGTTCACAACATTAGTAATTGGTGTTTTCAAGTCCAAAATCCCTCAAATTTCTAGACAACTGACCCATGCTAATGTCCATCACTAGCTATACGATCATGTTGACAATAAATTCATCTTGAAACCTTGCTTCAATAGATGTCGTCTTGAAATTGAATCCCCTCCCAAACCCAATCTTTTCCGTCAATAGATGACAAATCCGTAAAAAGTGAAAACACGTTTTAAATATAGAAATGCTTAAAATTTGTTATTATCGCTTTAAACAATAATTTTTGTAACCATACGGGTATTTATTTTTCAAAAGGTTTAATTTTACTGATCCTATCAACCCCTCATTTCCCCCTACCTACTGGAAACTTGTAAGTTTGTTTAAACAAATATAACGATTTATACCAACATTTTAACTACTAGATAACATTGTTACACATGTTTAATATCTGTAATTTATTACAGGTTTGAAATACAGATTCTTTTGTGTTTGCAACTTGTGTATGTAGAGAGGAGAGGGGATATCAACCTGAGCAAGTTTGAGCCTGTTTTGATCTCAACAGATCAATATCCAGATTTCAATGTAATTTTAATCTTACCTTTGACAACTATTTTATCGTTTTTTGTTTCAATATAGTTAAGAATTAGTGGTTAAGATAAGATAAGATTATTTGGTGTATTTCACACAAGTGTCCCGTCAATATCCCGTGATAATTCATGTGTTGTCAAGGTGAATGTCGACGATTTGATCACGGGTCTAGGACCAAGTTTTTACTCAGTGAAAACTTGAGTTTATTTCATGAGATGAACAAGGGATTTTTACATGAGAAAATTATTTTCTCCCATCTACTTAAATTACATTTTTTAAAAACCCCAGGAAAGAGAGGGGATATTTAATTGATTTCTGATATATAAATATATTATGAATTAACAGTATATAATTATTACAAAATGTTATGAAACTAAACATTTTAGTTTATTTCTTTTACATCAAACATCTTGAACATGTAAACTTTAAACTATTCTTATCACAAAGTGAAATTTCAAGTCTGAACAATGTTCAATTATGTTAATGTGTTCATAATTATAAGAATTCTCCTTCCTTTATGTATCTGAAAGATCGATATTCCAAAAAGGGGTTGTTGAGAAATTCAATACAAAGTTCAACTTGAAACTTTTCTATACTCTGCTCATGCTTGTTTTAACCTGAAAACTGCATGTAAGTTAAAATATTTCATTTTACTACAATAAACTTTTAGTTTCTGAAAGATGAGCAGAGACACCAAGTGTTATGATTTTGCAACTTTATTAAAAATGAAACATCAAGTTCTTCCCGTGATATATCAAATATTTTACGGGTGATAGTTATAAGAATTAAAATCTAGATATTCTGACATTTATACATTACTCATGATTAACACATTGGAAATAGGTAAGATCTTGCACTGGTATCTTTGCTTATTTGAGCACAACATGTGAAAAACGACAAGAATTGAACTATAGAATTATCTCAAAAATATTACACATGATAATTACAAGAATTAAAATCTAAAAATTCTGGCATTGCATTACTCTAGTTTAACACGATAGGAATTTGCAAGATCTTGCACTGGTTTATTTTGGTACTTGTACAGCATGTGAAATAACGCCGAGAATTTTCAAAGCATAATTTCGCATTTTTTACCCGTGCTGTACACAGGAGGAATCTTCAAGATTGTGAAAAGTAGATATACCACGAGTATAACACAAGGAGGGGCCGTGAATTAATCACGTGAATTATCAACCAGTTTTCCATCATGATAATCTCGTTTAAAACCTGGTGTCCTCTTGGGCCCAGCCCTGGACCTTTTAATGCAATTTTCTAAGGATCCATGTGAGAGATATTTTTTCTCATGTTAAACATGGTTGCCTTAAAGGGGAGTTTAACCCCTGGAAATTTGTTAGCAAAAAGTCGCTGGATCAATGAAACCCTCTCACTAACTTTAAGATGTGAATATTTAATGAACTTATAGTTTATAAAAGTTCTTAACCAGAGTTCGCTGTAGGTATGAGTTCTCTCCAGGCATGACACCGGCGTTTGCCTATAAAAAAGACTAAAACTGGTTTGATGCTGGTATTTCTATCCACACAGCAAAAAGTACATATCTCCTTCAGGGGCAACTCAGCGAACAGGCAATGATAATCCAGGGGTGGCTTACTTTCAGATAGAGACTGATTGGTCGTGAAACAATTTTTAAGTTAGATGTTGGATTGTTTAGTATACAGAAAAACTAAGAATGATTGAAGGTTTCTAGGTTATCATCTAATGTTTCAAATATTTTTTATCAAATACAAAATTATATGCAAAAATGTTAAAAATCAAAAGTTCAAACCTAAAGGAAGTTTTTAACAGCACGGAAAATCTCTTGATGGATTTTTCTGTTAATTTTGTTTGACCTCTAACAAAATTCAATTACTAGGTCCTCACCCAACCTAGCTGATGGAAACGGACCAATGTGTTTTCTAACTCAAAAGTTTTCCGACCTAAGATTGGGCGCTACACAGAGGCGTATTCAGGGGGGGCTTTGGGGGCTAAGCTCCCCCCTGGACCAGTGAAATCTATTGATTTCAGGGGGTTTTCAGGCCCCAACGGGTGCTGAGCCGGCCATTTTCAGGGTGGCCAAAATGTACGGATTGTACGGATTGTACGGATTTTTTATTTTGTAACCCTAAAATTGTACGGATTGTACGGATTTTTTTCAAATTGTACGGATTGTACGGATTTTTATCCTGGAAATACACCGGTTTTTTTTTATTTTCACTCATTTCAGCAAGTTTTTCATGAAAATTTCAAAAAAAAATCTCGTCAAAATGAAGTTAGTTTAACTTATTTTCTGCATTCTAAATAATATTAGATTGATTAACGTTTCAATTGACAATCAAAATTCATTCATAATTTTCGAGATCCCAGAAGTGTTCATTTGAGAATATGTTCCAGAAGTGTTCATTTGAGAATGTGTTTATCTATCTGTCTATCTGTCTAGCTATCTGTCTAGCTAACTGTCTAGCTATCTGTCTAGCTAACTGTCTAGCTATCTGTCTATCTATCTGTCTATCTATCTGTCTAGCTTTATGTCTAGCTATATGTCTAGCTATCTATCTAGCTATCTGTCTATCCATCTGTATATCTATCTGCATGTCAGTTTATCTATCTTTTTATTTATCTGTTTATATATCCTATCTGTCTTTCTGTTTATCTAGATGTGTATGTGTCTATCTGTTTCTCTGTCTATCTATCTGTCTGTCTGTTTATCTATCTATCTATCTGTCTCTTTATCAGATCTGAGAACATCCTCTCAGGTTTCTTCCGTTTATCTGTAAATCTTTTCATTTTTAGTTTAATATTAACTTTCTTTTAATTGAGTGTGCAACCCCTGTACCACGCTTTTTTTAAATTATATTAGATCCTAAACCTGTAAGATATCTAGATGCTAAATACTTCCGTGATAACTCGACTCAAAGTCTAATTTGAATCTATATAACTCTGTCTCAGCCAAAACTCAAGGCTCTCTATACTCAGCCAATACTCAAGGCTCTATACATGTCCGTATTAATCAACGAATCCTATTGAACTGATTTATTTTATATACAGGTGAATGAAACTGACTGGGCTAGCCCAGCAGAGTCAACATACAGATAATTAAGATATATATATATTACTAGCAAAGATAACATAGATAGCATTACACATAGATAAAGATTATATTACAAATCCCACAAGGGGAAGTGTCAAGGTTATCGTTTGTAACCGATCCAACAATAATGTGACATTTATAGGCTTCCAACATTCGGTACTAGCATTTGTACTTGGATAGTTTCTGTTATAGAATTCTTAAGGCTTTTGAGCAAAGCCCTGTTCAGGGTAATCATCGTACTCCGAGCTCCTACATAACAGAACAGATCCCTTGCTAAAAAACTATCGGAGTTTCTGTGGTCGGAACCTCAATCCTTTTACATAATTCCTCGTACACGTTTTCGCCCTTTCGACGGGCCAGCCACCCAGGTTCACGACTTAAACGATAGAGATAATCCTGATCGCGTGTAACATCAAGCCAGGTCGTACCATCTCCACGTTCTACCCTGTCGTTAGGATTGCTCAATGCACTGCAATCCTGATGTCCCCGACAACACAGGGTTTGGATCAGATATTGGTCACTTCTCACGTCCAAACTCAAGGCTTCAAGCAGTTCAGCAGCTCTCTCATCAGAGGTGGTTGATGCCGTGCCCGGAGAAGTATGATGTATGATTAATTGAGGACATCCAGGCAATAATAAAACATCTGTCTTGCTCTCGTTATACAGCATGGAAAGGTTGTCTGATATCCTCCTACTGGTCTCTTCAGGCTTTAGGCTTACAGGCTGGATCCTCTTGACGGTGCAGGCTTGAACTTGATCATCCAGCAAGTAGAGCTGAGGACAGTTATAACTCCAGTTTTTCGAACAGTCAGTGGGGAATGAAATTCCGGAGTACTCAGCAGATATCTTTCCCCCTATAGTCCTGATATAAACTTCATGTAGCTGGTCGAGCATAACAGGGGTGGTGCAGTCGAATGACTGGCTCTGGAAAGCTGACTCCCGCCAGTCTGAGTTTCCTTCCACCTTCAAAATTGACACAAGTAACAACATCATGGTAATCATGATCCTTAATACTCTCTTACTCCAGGATGACTGAATCCTCCTTGGCCTGCTATGCAACTGACTAACTGTGTCTGTTGTATGATTTGAACTAGCAGAGGTTGCAGCTGCACTCAACCCCGCAGCTGTGTTGCTGTACCGGCCGGTATTACTGCTACTCGGGCCTGGTATCAAGGTTGGAGGTATCGCCCCGGCTGTGTCTCTGTTCCCGGCCTGCCTGCCCAACTCTGCAACCGTGTCTGGGGGTAAATGTACCAGCAGGTCTCCTCTCTCGTCCCTGATTGGTTCACTCTCGCCTTTACATTCGCAGCTGGCCAATAAACAATTCGCCGCCTTTTTACACTTCTTTGATTGGTCCTCAAGGTCCCAGCTGTCTTCGTATTCTTCATAACTTACCGGTGTAATATCCTGTAAACCCTGCTTTATCCCTTCTCTCCTTCTCAATTTGCCGTTGCACTGGTTTTCTACACACTCTGATTGCCCCCTCTTTACTCCTGTAACCCCCTCCTGCATGTATACATCATTCTCTGCACCCTCTGATTGCCCCCCCCCCCTGTTCCATTGCCCCCCTCTTGCATGTCCATCTCATTTTCGCAGGCCAGGGTTGGCAGGGTCGGTTCATCTATTTCTTCTAATCTATTATTGTGCTGGGTCTCCGCCTCTCCGCCTTGCATTTCCACCTCTCCGTCTAAATCTAGAGTTGGGTGGGCTACCCCCCCTCCTCTTTACAGCTGGATGTTATCTGGGTCTCGCGGTCAGTCTGTCTAATCTCCTGTGGTTCTGTCTGGCCAGCTGTCTCCCTTCTGTCCCCTGGGTCTTGTCTTCTCTTTTCTGACTGTCTCTCTTGATTCTTTATCTCTTCTGTTGTCGGTTTCTCTAGCTCCGAGTTAGGAATTTCTGTAATCTCATCTCCCCCTTGAAATGCTGGGTGAGGGGGGTCGCTGGGTAATCCGTGCACGTTGTTTTCCCCCCTAAACTCCTTGAGAATGTCTAGACTCACTATCCTCGGTTTCCCTTGCTCATATACAGTCATCACATCGGCTAATGCTGACGCCAACAATCTTACAATTTTATAAGGCCTCGCCCAATAAGACCTGAGTTTGTCACAACTGCCTGGAATGATCTTGGGGTCAAAGATCCATACCCACTGTCCTACGTTAAACTGGTTCAAGATTGGCTTGTAATATTGAGCATTTCTCCGCACTGTTTGTTGTTGTCTCTCTCTCATCCCAGCATTAGCAGTTTGAAACCTTTCTAGTATAGTCTCTGTCCAGGCAGATACATCCTTCTCAGCATCCGGTCGTGGGATTGGGTAAACCCAGTGGATGGGAACTATCGCTTCCCGTCCAAATGTTGCAAAGAACGGTGTCTGGCCTGTACTACTGTGTACCGTAGTATTATAGGCCAGACAAGCCGCTTTTATTCCCAGGTCCCATTCATTTTGCATCTCCCTGCCCATAGTCCTCAAAATACCCACTATTGTTCTATGCCATCATTCCACAATATTAGATGAGGGGTTATACGGGGGGGTTCTTGTATGCAAGATCTTTAATTCACTAAACAATTCAGTCCATAAATTGTTTACAAACTTGGCTCCGTTATCGGAATGAATTTGGTTTGGCAGGCCGAATACACTGAAATGTTAATGTATCAGAACTCTAGCCACAGTGCCTGCTTCCTTGTTGCAAATCGGATATGCACTTGCAAATCTGGTAAACCCATCCTGTACCGTTAACATATAACGATTCTTCCTCACTGTTTCTGACATTGATACTAAGTCTATGAAAACTTTCTCACCTACATTGCCCACTGTGCTAGGCTTGTGGGGCCCTCTCTTGGTTTGAATACTCCTTTCCTTAGCTAGGCAGGTGTTACATCGATCCACCAATCTACGGATTTTCTCATGTGCAGACATTGCAAAGAATGTTCTCTGGAACTTGTCTAACGTTCCACCCACACCTCTATGTCCCCCAGCCATGCCTTATGACAAATCTTAAACACTTCCTCTAACTTCACTGCTGGTACACAAACACGTAATGCATCATATGGCTTGGCTGGATCTGTGTGACGGTTGTAACATAGGATTCCATTATGCATCACTAACAGGGTAGGATTAAATATCTGTCTCACTGATAGTACTTCCTGTATCTCCCCCCTCACATCCTGCATCTTGGGAACTTTGCCACTTAAAATCCATTTGATCACTTCCTTCCAAACTACATCCTCTTCCTGTAACTTCCTCAGTTCATTTCCCTTTATTATCTCAAATCTTGTCTCATTACTTAGGTTGTGAATAGCAGGCGGATATCCGGCAAACTTCCGCCTCACTTTTCCTATTTCCACGGGATTTCCTTCCAGTTTGTATGCAAAAGTTATCTTCATCTCTCCCACTTCGTTTGCTTCTTGGTACTCTTCGTTTTCTTCTGTCGTTGGCTCATCTAAATGCTTGGCCCTAGATAAAGCATCTGCATTAACGTTCTCACTTCCTTTCTTGTGTATAACAATGAACTCAAACTGTGCCAGTTCCGCGTACCAGTGTTGAAAGATAGTTTCTTCTGATTTCAAGTTCACGATATACTAGCAGCATCAGTGTAAACTAGAGAGGGGGGGCCGGTACTTCAGAATATGTTCCCACTTCTTCATACACTTCACCAAGGCGAGCAACTCCCCCTTGGCGCTGGAATAGTGTCTCTCATAATGATTACACTTCCGCCCCCAACATCCCAGGAAACGTTCTACTCCCTCTTGTTTCTGAGACAAAACTCTAGCAATATTTAAAGACGACCAGTCCGTAGTAAGGATGAATGGTTCATCTGAATCAAAGTCTGGATAGGCTTGTATCCGCCCTGCTGAAAACTCCGCCTTTAACTCCATAAAATCCTTCTCCATATCTTCAGTCCATACAAATTTCTCCGCCTTCATCCTGTTGGTCAAAGCTGAGTACCTAGGAATAAAACCTCTGTAATAACCCGTGAAACCCAGAAATGACGACATTTCCTTGCAGCTAGTGGGCCGTGGCCAGCTCTGTATATCTTTCACATATTGATCCAACATCTGTACTCCGCCTTGACTCACTTTATGTCCTAAATACTCGGTTTCTGTCTGAAATATCTTGGTCTTCTTAGGTTGAATCTTGATCCCTGCCTTGGTGTGAGCCTCCACGATGCTCTTCAGATGCTTCAAGTGGTCCCAGGTGTCCATAGAATACACCAGGATGTCGTCGAGATATGATAACCAGTACTCCACAGGTAAATGGGCCAGGGCTAGGTCCAACATCCGGCTGTAGACACTTCCGGCATTTGACAGGCCAAAAGGCATCCGGATATAACGAAATGTGCTGAAAGGACTAATAAAAGCTGTACAATCCCTGCTCCCCTCTTCTATCTATATCGCGTGATATGCCCCGCAGGCGTCAATTGAGGTGAAGATTTTTGCACCCTTCAACTTTTGTAGATTTTCCTGAATATTCGTCAGAGGATAAGCATCATTAATTGTGACGTCATTAAGCAGCCTCAGGTCAGTCACCCATCCATCCTTCTTCTTCACCGGAACTAGTGGTGATGCCCAGGGACTATTTTCAGGTTCTATAATCCCTTGTTGGATCCACTCTTCCAATTGTTCTTTCAAGTTTGCCTTTTGATCAGGGTTCAAGGGTCTCACTTTAGATCTCTTAGGTACTGCCCCAGGTTGTAGTTCTATCCGCAGCTCCAATAAATCTGTTTTCCCATAATGGTTAGGATGAAGTGCTAACGTAGAAAAGTTCTCCAAGAAAATTTTGATTACTTCCTCCTTCAAATTTGCATCTCTATTTAGAATTTCGTTCTCATCTATCTTGAAACTGTCCTTGATAAACTTCCTTTTACTCTCCTCTGTCGTGAAATCTGACTCCTGCAGAGAATTGACGGATTCTGAAGAATTACACACTTCCTCTTCATCCAAATCTGACACCGCACTTCCCCTTAGTTCCTCTCTAATCCAGGCTTGCTTATCTATACACATACTATGAATGGTGCCTAGCTTCTGTCCCACACACAACTCTACTCACTCCTCTGCATGGTTCTCTACATATATCGCATGTACACTTCCTGATAGGTCATAGGCATTTTCCGGAAGTAAAATGTTTCTCCCCTTCTCTTGATCTTCTAACGGTAACGATTCTACCACCCCAGCCCCAGTCCAGTTACCTTCAGTTCTAACCTTGACTAGTTTGGCACTTCCTGCAGGTATAGTTATCTTCTCTGCAGCCCATAACTTTCTCTCTACTACTTCCTCTACTGGATCTATTTGATTCACTTCCGGTTCCCGTTTCTCTGCTTTCCACAACGCCGGAAGTATCTGGGTATACTTCTTGTTTTCCTTATCTACTCTCCGACCTTTAATCATGAAAGGGAAAGGTTTCCCATAAGCACTGCACAGCCTCGTTAACCTTTCCTGTCCCTTACTTCCGGTAACTAATTTCACTTCCTTCTCTGTACAGGATATGGACACTTCCTGTTGGCGAAAAAACTTGATACCAAAGTTCACTGCGTGGTTTAGTCCTTCTATCACAATTGGTTCTACTTCAAACCTCCGGTCCAGGCCATCCAAGTAGAATCTAATCTTTTCCCCTTTCCCTAGGACTCTCAATCCTTTCCCACCTTTCTCCGCCGTGTTTACTCTAGCATTACTCTCCTCCAACATTTTCCCTCCTATCATCTTCCAGAATTCACTAGACACTAAAGTACCTTTCACTAAATTGCCTGTGTCTACTAGTGCTAATCCGTATATGTCCCGCTTAAATAACTTAAATTTCACATATGAGGTTTTACGGTCGTCCCTCTCAATTAAATTAACATTGTTCAGATGTACTAGGATATTCCTTTCCCATTCTCTCAGTTCCGGATCTTTATGACCGTTAGGCCTTAAACTACCCCTCACTTCCGGGTTAAAACCATTAGATACTTCTCTAACCTTGTCTCTAATATCTAATACTTCCGGTCTAACATTATTAACTTGCACTTCCGGTATTAATTCACATGAATTAAGGACATTTGGATTAACAGAAATGTTTATTAAACGATTATTATTCACATTCAAATCATTATTTTCTGCAATCATAGGAGTTAACGACCGTCCGTCATCGTAACTCCCTAGGGAAAAACCGCTTCTGGAACCAGTTTCTTCAGAACTTCTTGCATAGCTGCCATAGATTTAGCCATATCCGCCATCTGTCCGCCCCCATATCCGCCATTTCCTCTCCTTCCTTGATTTCTCCGTTCTCCTCTGCACTCCCGGGAGATATGATCCTCCTTCCCACAATTATAACACGAAATTGATGGGTGGGGATTAGCACTGCTGGAATTTCCCCCAGGTTTCTTATAGGGATTCTTCTTTTTCCATTCTTCAAACTTCCTGCAGTCCCTCTTCTGATGACCAGTTTTCTTGCAAAAATAGCACGTATCTCCATTCTGTATAGCATTTATTCCGCCCTCAGCCTCTAAATCCTCAACATCAGACACGTCCTCCACCAACCCTGGCATGGCGTTGACGTCCATGGGCACCTGCCCCGTCTTCAACATCTCGTTGGCCTTGCTCATCTCGCTCCCATCATACCCATAAGTACTGTGTAATCCTGCCATATCCTGTGCAGGGGCTCTCGGATCCATGTTATAAGTCCTCAGGTTTATCAGTTGGTGGTCCAGTACTGCTTTAATCTCTCTTTCATGTTTAATCTCTTTAGGCATAAATGTAAGACAAGTTTTCCTCAACTCAGCGTTATACAGGCCCATTAACATATTCGTCTTGAACTCTACTAAACTCCTCCGTGCTGGGGGGTAGGCTTGCACAAATAACCTCAGTTTGTCCGTGTAGTACTGCCTAGCATCCTCATTCCTCATCTGTCTCCTTTGCAAATACTCCATCTTCCTGCCTTCCTCATCCTTCTCATGGGTGAATTTCTTTAATAATTCTTGGAAGAACTCACCAATCTCGTAGTTGTCAAAAGCCAACCCATCAGGTTTCAACAATACGATCTCAGACTGTGCCTTTCCCGTTATACAGTCTAGCAGCATCCTCTTTATTGCATCGTTGGGAATCGTCTCACACTTAAACCTTGACAGATGTTTCTCTAACTCCCCACACCAGTCAAACACCTTACTGGGGTTACCATCATATGTCGGGGCTCTACAGCTAAAATCCAACAGTCTCTTCTCATAGTCAGCCTCCGCCCTGCTTAGATCCCTAAGGGTACTTCTATCTACTCTCCCCTCCGCCTTCTCCTTCTTCAGCCAGGATATATAGTACTCTTGTGAATCCTCCACCTTCTGTCGCTCTAACATCGCGACTACTCTACCGATGGGGTCCTGTGTCTCTGGTGTCGCTGATTCTTGCCAGGTCTGGGCAAAAGATTTATCCTTATCTTTCTGCTTGATCTCCGCCATTTCCTTCTTAGTCTCCGCCAGTTGAGTTTGTAGCAGTTGA